AGCAAGTGCAGATCCGTTGCCTTTTGCCTTGCAGGGCTTTCCCGGCATGGCACAAGGGCCAAACCCGAGATGTTACAACCAAAGGGTGGCGAGTGATTTTTGGCTTCGATTGATGGTGCTGCATCATCAAACTTGCCAACAAAAATTGGGTCGTTGGCATGCACGGCCAGTTGTTTTGGCTGCCCCGAAAAAATGAACCTACTCTGGAAAAGCTGGAGGTTGAGGCTTTTCCCAAGCATCGTGCGAAGCTGTTTGCCATGCTAAGCTCATCAGCTTGCCAAATACCCCACCAACAATGGATTCCCTCTTCAAAAGTTGATCAATTTACTTGTGGTTTCGAGACAATCCCCCCTCAAACAAAAACACACACACACACACAGACACACAGAAACCATGAAACCATATTCCAGAACAATTATTCCGAGGGGGTGCCATTATGCCCTTGTTTTTTGCCTAAAACCAGCATCCTTACATCCCTAAATTTCGCTTCCTCAATTTATGTGGCCCGAGCCTGGTTTGCACTGGTCCCTTGCATGGGGGTGTGCACACAAACAAAAACAAACAAACAAACAAACAAACAAACAAACAAACAAACAAACAAACAAACAAACAAACAAACAAAACAAACAAACAAACAAAACAAACACATTCCAGAACGATTCATTCCAAGGGGTTCCAAAAACAAACACAGACCCTCTTGGTTTTCACTCTCTTTTTTTCCCGGTCATCGATCTTCGTGGGCCTCGTCGCAGGGCTGCAAGGCCTGCGACGAGGCGCACCAGAGGTGGAAGAGGGCGGAGGAGGCCCACTCCAGCGCCAGGGAGTGCAGCGCTCGACAGCCTGGCAGAGAGGAAGGAGGATGGAGAGGTTTTGGTAAACTACCACTAAACACTAGAAAGCTAAAAGGCTAAGGGGATGGCTGGGAGCAAGACTAGGTTCATCCCCCCCAAAAGGAGAACCCGTGGGTTTAAGTCTATCTTGGGTAATGAAAAAGTGGAACCTGGCTGGGAACTCCCACGAGTTACTAGGCCCTCCAGTAGAGAGGTTAGAATAAGTTGGTACCCACTTTTGTTTCTTCTTCTTTTTTCGGTAGTCTACTTTAGTAGGGAGGTTTCCTCCCAACCAAAAAAGAGTGAGAAAGGGCACCTAGCTGGGGGACCTAGAAGAGGATGGTGCTGAAAGGGGCTTGGAAGGGAGGAGGAGGAGGGACGGAGAGGAGGAGGTGGGGAGAAAAGGAGGAGGGGAGGGGAAGCGCCAAACAAATCGTACATTGCCTGGTCGGAGGACCTGTGGATGCTCTTTTGGGAAAACACCAAAAGCATGAACCACCAAAAGCATTCCGAAATCGTCGCCGGGCCGAACGTCTTTGTTTTTCAGCCGGCCTGCGACGGTCTGGTCATGCAAGCCCTGCAAGCAGGCGCCGTCGAAATCCTTGAGCACCTCCAGGACCTTTCGGCACCACAACAAAAGCCAGGTCCTCCAGTAGAGCGGTTGGAATAAGGGTACCAACTTTTTTCTGTAGTCCAATTTAATAGGGAAACCCTCCCCCAAAAAAGGGTAAAAGGGCACTACTGGGGGACCTAGAAAGTGTGCTGGTTTCTCCGGAAAAAGGCTGAGCTCTGGTAAAGGGAGCCGGGGGAAAACCAAGCCATGGAGATTTCCTGGGGGTTTCAGGACCTACCTGGAGCAAACCGTGTTTGCAGCCAGCCCTGCTCAGGGAAGTTCAGGGACACGAGATGCAGCGCGCGCCCAACACCCATTCACGGTTGGTTCTACTAACATTTTTAAGCCTCACAGCTTGCATAGCTTCACCATAACTCCAATTGAACCAGGCATCACCTGTCAAATGGGCCAATGGGGGTTTTGGGCGCTGCTCGCGTGACTCAACATCATTTCAGTTTGCCAAGCGCCCGAATGAATTAAGCGTGACCAAGGTACGGAAGGAAGTTGTTCATTCACATCTTGTAAATGCCCGCCATCCTTCCAAGCTGTGGTAATTCAACATGATTTGCACATGCTTTCACTGTTTCACACATCTTGCCAACCTTGTAAATCCAGTTAGACTAACGCTCCTGTCGGACAAGTAGATCAGCCCTAGCCAACCAAACACGAAGGGCGGCCGCCTTTTGGATAATAAAGCTCGCAAATTGCCCAGACTCAAATGGGTTCGCCTCAAATACAGGAACCGGTGGTTCCCTTTATAACTTGGGTAGATTGGCGACAAAAGTCTGAACCTTTTGTTACCTCTAAAAAATGTCTCCCCAAAAAGTATAAAAAACAAACCAACAACTCAGTGAGCAAGCTCCGTTTGCTCCTCAAAAGAAGAAGAAACTCACACCCAACGAATACAACCTTTCCAAGCAACAAAGAAGCTTCCATTTGCTTAAGGCCCCTGGAACAAATGAGAGCATGTTTCCAGTAATGCTAGATTTCCTCGAACCCCAACAAGGGAAAAAAAGAAACATTTCGGCAACTAGAAGGAAGCCCAAAAGAACTACCGGGTGTCGCCTCCTGCAGGGACTGGGACAGCTCCGGCGGTTGGCTGCTGTTCGTCAGCAGCTCCTCTCCGCAGGCGAAGACCTCGAGATCGGGCGGTTGGGGGTTGGGAGGTTGGGGATGGGGTGGGAGAAATTGAGGGGTTGGGGTGCGGGTTGGGGAAGGGATTGGGGGGTGAGGGAGTGGGGCGGGGGTGGGATGGGGGTGGGGGGTTGGAGGTTTAGCCAACATGAGCTCGTTTTGCCAATGGGGCTCGTCATTCCACCATAAAAGGGGCCGGGCGGCCTGGAATGAGGCTTTGCGGGAAATCAAGCTGAACCCTTTTATGGACCAGTAGCTAGTGATGGCTGGCAGAAGCTTGTCATGCTCCTTTCAGACTATGTGCGATTGGGGTCGGAAAGGAAACAACTACGTTGACGACAGTCTCATCCAGAAGCATATAGTCAAGACCAGCTCTTTTTGTCAGAGCTTTTTGTGGAGATCCGAAGGGAGCAAACAAAACTCCAAAGTATCCATGTGGCATACCCACACGTGCCCCTAAACTGGGCAACGACCCAGGGTTTCAAAGGGCGACGCCGCCTTGCCACGTTTGATGCGGACGTCATGGTGAGGGGAAGTGAAAGCTCAGCCGCAAGCCATGGACATCCAGGGACAATAGTAGCTTGAGTTGTGATACCTGTGGCAGGATGTGACAGGACAACATCAGCAGGGTAAGTGCGATGTGCAGTTCATTTCCCACCCCCGCGCGCTTCGATGTCGGCCCAAGAGTACTCACTTTTGCTAGCCACGAGCTATATCAACTTGCATAGGTTGCACCCATGGCATGAAAGGAGTGCTGCATCCTGACTGGCAACAGTTAAGGACTGCTTCTTGCTCGGGTGGTTTCCTCCCCCAAACCAAGTCGGAGCATGTGGCCCACGACTGCTGAGCCACCAAAGGTGGTGGTGGTTGTGGTGTCTGGGGTGCGGGTCCCTCAATTAGAAGTCACACCAAACAACACACGCGCATGGCTTTGTCATCCTTCTTACTTGCAGAGGGAACATTGCCATCGACTTTCCTTCAAAAGTTGTGATCTGGGTTTGTCTCAACAACTCCCTTCCTGGACTTGCCAAAAAAAGTCAAACTTTTCATTTGTCGCAAAAATTGTCCAAACACAAAAAGTTCAAAGTTTAAAGCCCATGATCTCAGGGAGCGAGAATAATGGGGCACCTTCCAACTTAGTCTTCTTTTCGTTCCCCCAGGAAAAAAAGGAAAATGATAATAATGATAATAATAATAATTTAAAAGGAAACACACAAACAAACAAACAAACAATCAAACAATCAACCCATCGAAACCGGGTTCCGGAACCTGATTCCCCCGATTTCCATCCGCTCGCCTGGCCGGCGGTCTCCAAGACCATGAGGTCCTCGCACACCGCCGCCTCGCCAACGCCGATCGCGAGCCCGGCCGCCAGCGCCCATCCGTGCGGCCGCATGAGTGCGGCGCATGGCGAGGTCAGGCGAAAATGTCCGTGGGCGCACAGGAATGTTGCTCCGAAAAAGGGAGGTCGTGGTTTCCTCTTCATCCTGCTCAAAGGGGGGGGGGTTCTCAGGTTTCAAGGTTGAAAAGCCGGCGCTTGAAATAGATCTGAAGGCAACCGGCGCCCAAGACTTGAGACGAAGAAACATGTGCTTGGCGCTTTTTTGTGCACCAGTGCAGGTATCGAGCACCAGCCCGAATTTCCGAATTCAAACACAAATGCAACGCCCCCATTTCGGTATGGGGCTGGGGCTTAAGCACGTCTCTGGAAGGGCTTTTGATTTGAGGTTAGGTTTGGTTTTCTTTCCATAGCACCGCTGAACAAACGGCATTGTTCTGCTTCATGCTTAGGGTCGCTCATGGAGGCCTAAAAGAACACTAGGTTCTGGGGACACCATTAAGCCACACGTCGTAAAACAACGACAATGTGTGTACTTAGTTGGCCCTCCCTGAGCACAGTGTTTTGCGAAGTAGCTGCTAGCTGGTTGTTGAAAAGGGGTCTTAAAACCACCCGCCCCCGGCTTGGTTTCCTCTTCCTCCATTGCTTGAGTCGCCTGGGAGAAATAAACATACTTCCACTAGTGATTAGATTCACTTTAAAACCAACAAAGGGGAACAAACAATGTTTGTTTCAGCAAATGGAAGTCTTTGATTCTGCCATATGTCTCTGCTTCTGCGAAAGGCCAGCACCCAAGCTTGAGCCAATCAAGGCACATCAGAAGCAATTTGCCGAGCTGGCCAGCCAGAACTTGGCTTGAGCATCAAATGAAGAGGGACTTTTGATCCTCCCAAAAAACTTGTCCAAGTTCATTGACTCAGCAAGTGAGGGAAAACCCCACGAAAATGGGTTGCTTCCATTTAGAGCCCCAAACACTTACCCTCCAAAACGACGTCAAATGCGACATTGTAAAAAACTCCCTTGGGTCATGGCCATGGTTGTTTTACTAAAAGAACCATTTGGAGGTTGATGACCATCCGCTGGCCTGTTGTCTGGAGTACCTCGTTCCCGTCTATCACGTCCTGGCTGATGCCAGGGGGACCAGTTTGGTCCATCACTTGACCCGGTGCTGGAAACCGTGGGCTTGGGACACATTTCGAATCACAAAAATATCCATCCTGCTACCAAGACGAGGTCCTCCAGTAGAGAGGTTAGGATAAGTTGGTACCCGATCTTTTTTCGGTTTTGTCTATTTTAGTAGGGGAACCCTCCCCCAAAAGGCTGGGGGACCTAGAAGAAAGAAATGCCCTGCCATTGCTGCCCAGCTTCCTGCGTGCGCATCACTTCCTCGCCTTGGTGTCACTCACGGGTCTAACCCGATGAGACTTATGACTTATGTAGGCTCTGAAAAAGGCATTGTTTCCAAAGGGTCAACAGGGCTGAGATCACACCAAAGACCAGCCACGAAAAGGCGCCCGGCTTCCATGGACCTGCTCAGATACCACAAAGGACGCCATCCTCCCAACTAGACGTGGGCACAACAACCCGTGATCCACAAAACCCGCTGTCAAACTGGCTGGTTTTCGGAAGAGGGCAACTGGCAAATCGCGAGTTATCTGGGGGGGGGGGGGGGAGAACTTGGTGAGTCCCCCATGTCCCGCCCAATTCGATTCCAACCAAATCCCCAACAAAATCTATAAGGCAATTTGAAAGATGTAATTTTGGACTTCTTTTTTGGTTGAACATTTTAAACCAATTTTGCAGCTTAATTTGCAACATTTGTAAAACACCGACCCAATGCTCAATCACCTTTCCGCCCATAGGTGAGCCTCCCTTGGCCCGCTTGGGGGGACGACCAATTTGCCATCCCGTCCCACACTTGCGGCAAGCATCCGAAGCCACGTAGCAAGTGCTAGTCTAAAGACGGAGCGGCTGAACATGGGAAGTGACTAGAGTGCCTGTGACAGTTGAACATAGTACCCTTTGCTATCAAATTGTGTTTGCAACTCACCTTGGCAGGAATTGTTCGCCTTTGGCAGGAAGTTTGGGGCGTGGAATGCAGCAAAGCTTTGACGAACTGGCCAAGGATACTTTGGGCGAGAAAAGGGAGCCTTGTTCCCCTGCGGGGCCACAACATACGCCTTTGTCTGACAGCGGGACCTCCAAAAATGGTACCCTCAGTCAGCTTCCATGTTAGTGGAGAGGCTAGGTCCTCCAGTAGAGAGGTTTGAATAAGGGTACCTTTTTTTATTCTTTTTTTCTGTAGTCTACTTTAGTAGGGGAACCCTCCCGCAAAAAAGGGTGAGAAAGGGCACTACTGGGGGACCAAGGAGGGTCTTCGTTTCAGCGACTGCGCCAAAACTGCGGCGGGGCCCCGGGCCGGGACCGGCTCCGCGGAGATCGCCGCTCCTTTCGGCGCTGTCGCCTGGGGATCGATGTAGCTCGACCCATTTTGTTCCAGAGACCCAAGAGATGGCGCACATGATGTCGTGTGGTGACGCATTTTGTTCCGTGGTTGAATGGAACCCAAGAGATCCTTTTTGGCGGCAAAACCAGGACAAAAAGGGCTTCCTCAAACAAACACGGCGGAATGCCGAAAGGTTCCCGGGGAAAAAAAAACAGCACAAAGAAGGGTTCCCTCAAAGAGACACGGCCCAATGCCGAAAGGTTGGCCTTCAGGAAAACTCATTCAGCCCCTGGCGAGCGCGACCGATCGCGTCTCCGCGACCGGGATCGCTTCCGCGAGCGCTTCCGCGAGTGCGACCGCTTCCGCGATCGGGACGGCCGGGCCTGGGCAGTTCTTCTCGTCCACGTTGGAAATTGCGCACTTGCTGAGTGGATGGCCCAAAAAAAAGTATCCAAACTTTATATTTGCCACTAAAATGGTCCAAACCCAAGAAAAGAAGTGACTAAAGTTCATGAGCTCAGGAAGTGAGATTAACATGGAACCCAAAACGGGGGTACCCCAAAAGGAGCGGTCTCTAGGTTTGTTGGGTTCCATGTTAATTTGCAGGGTAAATCATGGTACGTCCCTCTATCCAAACGTCTAAACGTCCAAGGGAACTGCTAAGAAACACCAACCAAAAGCTGACTCACTAGGTCAAATAGTTACCGAGGGAAGCAGGCCGAGAGGAAGACATCAACGGTGCCCACCCCTTGCTGCAAGCAAATCACCTTGGCTTCTGCTTGCAAAGGAAAGACTAAAGAACGCCCACCAAATATGCCCTCAGCCAGCGGTTTCCAGGAACAGGAGCAGCTTCTTCCGCAATGGGAGTCTTCGAGATTCAGCCTAGTCACAGGCTGGGCACAAGAATTGTGATTGGGAGACTGCAACGGCCACCTATCGAGGCCATTCGGCCAAAAAGTCTGTGGCGTGTCCATATGGCTTGCGTGCTTGTTGGGAAAAATGTAGCAGGAATCCAGTTGATTCATGCACCCTGGTTAAGTGTGACTCGGGAGGCTGACGAATCTTGTCGGGGATGTGGAGCTTGAAGCACCCCCATGCACCCCTGCCAGGTTTTACTGAAACCCAGGTGACATGCCACGGCCCGCGCTTTGCGCAGCTCCTCGCCATCTCTCCTCTCCTGCGAAAGGGGCTGCCACGCAATTGGGCTCTTCAAAATGGAGCTTCGATTTCCACTGCTATTTGCAGTAGAACCAAAGGCGCCTTCTCAACTTCCTTGGCTGGAACTAGGACCCCAGCAACAAAATATATTTTTTTGCCGGTTAGTGGAAAACAAAGGGAACCCCAAAAAGCAAAACACATAACAAGGGAACTAATTCAGGGGAAGCTTCGAGTTGCCCAAAGAAACCAGAACCAGAAACCTCTCGTATCTTGCTCGTCTGTCCCACGTGGCCCGCGTAACCCAAGGCGATCAATCGCGTCCTCGCGGCCGCCGCGGCGGACTGGCTCCGCGCCTCACCACAAATGGCGCGTGTCTCAAGAAGGTTGGCTGCTTTTTGGTTTCCCTTTAAATACCGGAAGGGGTCCACAACACATTATGCCAACCAAAAGAGGTTCGAAATATATCTTGAGAAGCTCTCACACTGGATTTGCCTATGGAACCCTCAACTGCGTCCGGCAAGAAGCCTTGGTATGACTTGGTTCGCCTTTAGACATGCAGTGCACGTCCATTGCGCGGGAATCTGAAGCAGTGAGCAGGTTTCGGTGGAACATGTGTCGCACACCAAAGGGTGCCTTGACCCAACCGCGTTTCCATGGGGCCTGGGCCTGCGCCGGCGTTTTGCTCCTGGCAAGGCCCCCGCCCCTCCAGAAGTCAACGTGGAACTCCAAAGCTTCCGGATTCTTTTCTCTGCACCCATTCGGATGAAGCGGATCGACCACTGCCATCTACTTTCACATTCGCATAAGATCAAAATTCGGCCCCCCCCCCCAAAAAAAAAAAAAACAAAACAAAACAAAAAACAAAACAAAACAAAACACAAAACACTTCCCACTTAAGGGGGTGCCCAATTCGGTCCATTCGTCTAGCCTTCCTCCAAGGACAATTCACTTGACTCTCTACGCTACCATCTCAAGATGTCCTCGCGGTGCCTGCTGCGGCTGCGTCGACCTCGCGCACAACACAAAGATGGGGGGGAGTGGGGGGGGTGGTGGATGGGTTTTCTCTTGTTTCTCTCTGAGCCCCCACCCAAAAAGAGCTCATTATGTGGCTCATCCACAAAGGACTACCCACATCTTTTGATGCGCCAAACGCCAAAACTGGAAGTGGAAAAACGCAGCCGCGCAAGTCCCTTGCCGCAAAAAACATCCGTCCATCAGTCGGACCTCGGAGTCGGCGAGTCGCTTGGCTGCGAGGTTGCCCGCCGGCCGTTTTCTTGGGCCCCGGGCTCGGGCCTGCTAGTGGCGCCGCGCTCTGATTGTCCTGGGCCGGGGAAACGATACTCGCGGTCCAAAAGGGACGCCAGGCGAGACGTTTGGACCTTCAATAAGCATAGGTTCCACTGGACCCATGGCGGTCTTTTCAGGTCATGGGGCAACAAAGTTCATCCAGAAGCTCGCCATGCAGTACAAAGCTACGCACGGGTTTTGTCGCCCTCTGCATCTGGTGTAAGGTGGACTCAACGGGGGCCACCCCTCAAAATCCCAAACCGAAAAGGGAACCAAAGGGTTCTTCTTTGAGAACCACCACTCCCACAGCTCGCAGGGTTAACTTCTTGAAGCGGCAGTTAGTAGTACGTCAGGTAAGTGGTGATGGTAAGCCTGGTGTTCTCCTGAACGGAGACTTGTGGCCATGGCTTTTGTGGGTTCTTTTACCTGGCTTACTATCCACTTACCTAACGTACCGAATCGATCACCGAATCGATCGCCCCTGTAACTTTGGACTCGCCAATAGATCCTGCGGATTCGAAGTTGTGTGAGTTTGCCTGCCTCAATTTTGATTCGTGTCCTTCCCCGTGAAAACAAACAGGGGAACATAACAAGAAGAAACACGGCAACTTGGCTTCTGGTTTCCCCAACTTGCCCAAGAAGGCTACCCTCAACAAAGAACCAAATAAATAAACGCGTATCGAATCTTTACATAGTCGGAACAGTTTTTGGCAAGACCCATCTTGCTTCAGCTTCTAGTTTTGGATAAACAAATCATTCATGTTTTGGCAACTGGTATTTTGGTTTAGAAACACATATCTGAAGAACAAGCGAGTTATTCCTTTGTCCAATTTGAACACCGATTATCACATAAGTTTCAGGCACTTGCTTGTACTATTTTGACATTGACTTTCGGTTGACTTCTTGATATTGTGAATTTGCATTTTATCAACTACATTTCAACTTACGAGTTCTCCCATGAATGTAGGTCATCTTCTCATAATTCAGACACGCGAGCGGGTCGTAACTTCTGACGTTCGCCTTTGACTTGAGGCCCGGGCCCATCCGCCCAGGCGCCTGGAAGGGGTCGCTTTGGCTCATAGATTTTAAATGTCGCCGGGGATCGATCGGGCCTCCAGATCCACGTGGGCCCCTTGGCAAAGTGGAGGCACTTGAGATTCGAGGCCAAGGGCTGGTTTACATGTCTCCTTTTGAATGGGAAGACCAAGTAGTCCACTTCAAGTTCTACACTTCGAGCGGGTCAGAGTATGTTCCACCAAGGGGGTTGACAGGTTAAACTTTGAGGATCTTATCTTTAATGCGCACGCCGCACAGACTCCACGTGTTTGTTCTGCGCTCATTTTCCGGTGGAAAATTGGGAAACGGGGGTTCTTATATGCACCCTTTAAACGTCGCTCCACCAAAAGAAAGCTTCATCACAATTGACCCAACAGGTGATGTTCAATCCCATGCCAGCGACAAAGCGGGCGTCACATGTTTTTTGCAAGAATCTTTTGGGTTGTTGAGTTCCTTATTCAAAACCACAATTCTGGGGTCTCACTCCTATTTACAAACCCATAAAAAGGATCCCGGTACTTGGCCTGCAAGGGAGGCAAAGTCCAAGTCTCAAAAAGGCAGGCACACCTCAAAAGGCAAGAAATCCCCACCTTCTTGACTTTTAGTCCATCCCCCAAAGACCTCAAAATCATTCAGCCATACTTGACAAGGGGCCTCAAAATCGCTTGTTTATCAACATTTACAGGCTCGCTACCTGTGAAGAAACCGCACTGGCTTTCCAGCGCAACAGCAAGTTCAACACCGTGTTGGCCATTTGCCGAAAGCGAACTTCATCAAAATAAGCTCACTCACCCCTCAACGTGGGGGAGACTTCGTTTTGGTTTTCCCTTGGGCACAACTTGGACTGCATTTTTCCGAGCCCTTATATCCATCCCACGGGACGGTTTTCCCTTCGAAACCTATGCAAAGCCCCGCCCCCCCCCCCCCCCCAATTTGGGGCGTGGCTGCCGGTCCACACACCATGATACCCTTTTTCTGGTGCCACATGTTTTTAATACAGCAACGTGTCGGGTGTCTAGGCAAAACCAACGAATATCATGTGGGGGCATGCTTGATCTTGGTTCCTTGTTGGGCCCACTTTGGACTAGGTGATGTTGAAGGGCTTCCGATTTTTCTTCCCTTGAATATAGCTCCGGAAAGAGAGAACTCATCTGAGAGTGGCCCGAAAACGCGATGTTCAAACTAGATGAACATGGAAACAAAGGGACCCCAGTTTTAAGAGACTGTGGCAACAGGACTGGGGACTGGCTGAAACCTCCAGTGGATTTCCATGGGAGAAGGGCACTTTGATAGGAACAGAGAAAGGGGATCTTTGAACAATTTAACAAAGGAAACACTGTCCTCAGCCGCAAGGGTTCAGAAAGAACAGGTGACCACCGTTCGGGGCCACGAAGAATAGACCAAGGGATGACACCACAAGGTGCAAAGGTCAGTGAACAAACCATTCCAACATCAGGGCCCAAGGCAAGCAGGAACCAAACACCCGATTTGATTCGGCGACCCCCCTTTTTTGTGGGCAACCAGTGGCTCTTCTAGCCAAAGGGCTGCGGCTTTTCTTTTGCCTTCCCTTGGAAACCACATCAACCAAGGGTACACTTAAAAAAAGGTTCCGAACTCGGCTGCTTGAACAACACCAGAACTTCCTCAAGCGATCGATTGGACCCCCCGTTTGGTCAAACATATAACCAAAAATGGCTTGCCCTGGTAAATGGAAACTTCAACTACAACTTGCGGTCCGATTCCTGCTGGTGGTTGAATTTCGACCCCCACTTTTCAACAACCCCAAGAATAAGCACACCCAGGCTCTGAGATTAAAGCCAGTGGCCCAAGGTTCCACTCCCATCCCGGTGCCTGGCTTCTCGCCATGCGGAGCCTTGCAAACGCGGAAGCCGACGGACCAATCAACCATTCATGGGCTCACGCACTTCAAAACCCACTATCCGGCTTGGCTTCCAAAGCCAAAACGACCGCAAGCAGGGGATGTTTGAATAGCATGGGGGCAAACGGGTTTCGCATAAGGAGGCCTTCAGAAGGCATCCGACCACCAGCGTGGCACTGGATCAAGAACTGAAGATGTCATCAGCGTTCCCCTGGGAATCAACATGTATCGAACAACTGCTGTTGCAGCCTGCTAGTTTCGGTGAACGTGGAAGTGCGCAGCCAGCACCCCGAAAAGGAAAGAAGATGAATCCGACACCCTGGCGTCAGCTTCCATGATTGTCAAAGGCCAATGGCAATCTTGTGAGTTGCTTAGCCTTGGTTGACGTTGGAAGGGGAGAAAAATATATATATAAATTTTAGCAGTTAAGTGGGGATTTCCCGCTAAACCATCAAAAAGCAAAAATGCCTAATGTTTCCCAACAACAACCATGTACTAATCATTGCTCAAGGTTCACAGTCCTCTCTCCCATTCAGGCCTCTGTCAGGCGTCGCCGGCTTGCTCGGCCTGCAAATGCTTCGGCTGAGGGCTAGCCGTGCTCTCACCGCGCGGTTTCTGCGGAGTGATGCCTTGTAGAACGAATCTCATGGCCCTTGCTGAAACTCGCCAAGTGCACACAACTCTGAGATGGAGTGCTTGTGCTGACCTGTCGGAACCACAGCCCAAGAGGTTCTACCATATGGGTTCGAAGTTTCGAATGTGCGCATGCATCACCCTCGCCGATTTACTGAACCACGTGTAGCAACTCGGAGACTCAGTGCTGGGCTGCGACTGGTTGGCAGGCCTTGCTGGAATGGTGCATCCCCATCTAGGCGGGCAAAAGCCCTGAAGCCGTTCAGCAGCATGAATCAACAAGCCACTGAGCAATGTCCATGAGGGATCATGGTCGTCCCCAAACATCTTCAACATCTGATGTCAAAACACGTGCAAATGGTGCTTGTGGCATCTTTGAGGGCCAATCTTCTGCCCAATTTCAAGCTGTCAAGATCTGTGTTGTTCGAATGTGCGGCAAACATCGCTAAAATTGAATTAACGACATGATGCGTTGAGATGCATCTGCCCGCGCTTGCACAACACGCTTTGTCTTGGATGTAATGCACCCTTGCCGAACCACGTCTAGCAACTCGGAGACTCAGTGCTGGGCTGGGACTCGTTGGCAGGCCTTGCTGGAACGGTGCATCGCCATCTCAACCAAAAGTGCGAGAAAATGCAGCAGCGTACGACCTGAGCCGCCGGCTCAGCCCTGGCCGTATCAGCCACAGCCACTTCAGACGCCGCGTTGGCAGCTGACCTCAGAAAACTGCTGGGAACAGGTTTGGCTGTTTCCGCGCGTCGACCCGGCCACTGTTGCACATACTCCCGGAACCAATGAGATTGCTTCAGTAGTCAGGAGCGGAAGCAGTTACTGAGCAATGTTCTGATCGTCAGGAAACACCATCTCAAACATCATCAACACCTGTCAAAATAAGTTCCAATGGTGCCTATGTCATCTTTGTAAGCCAATCCACGGCCCACTCCTAAGCTGCAGAATCTGCCTCCGGTTCATGCTGGTTTGTGCAAGTGCACAGGCAACAACTGAGACGGAGTGATTGTTGTGATTCTTGTGCTGACCTCCGGTCAGCAACGCAAGCAAGCGGGATGGACCAAAGACAGGTTCTACCACATGGTCCGAATCTTGGCCAAACATCGTCACAACAGATTTTGAGACATATTGCGTCGAGATGCATCTGCCCGCGCTTGCACAACACATTTTGTCTTGGATGTAATGCACCCTTGCCGAACCACGTCTAGCAACTGCAACTCGGAGACTCAGTGCTGGGCTGGGACTCGTTGGCAGGCCTTGCTGGAACGGTGCATCGCCATCTCAACCAAAAGTGCAAGAAAATGCAGCAGCGTACGACCTGAGCCGCCGGCTCAGCCCTGGCCGTATCAGCCACAGCCACTTCAGACGCCGCGTTGGCAGCTGACCTCAGAAAACTGCTGGGAACAGGTTTGGCTGGTTCCGCGCGTCGACCCGGCCACTGTTGCACATACTCCCGGAACCAATGAGATTGCTTCAGTAGTCAGGAGCGGAAGCAGTTACTGAGCAATGTTCTGTTCGTCAGGAAACACCATCTCAAACATCATCAACACCTGTCAAAATAAGTTCATATGGTGCCTAGTCATCTTTGTAAGCCAATCCACGGCCCACTCCTAAGCTGCAGAATCTGCCTCCAGCTCATGCTGGTTTGGGCAAGTGCACAGGCAACAACTGAGACGGAGTGATTGTTGTGGTTCTTGTGCTGACCTCCGGTCAGCAACGCAAGCAAGCGGGATGGACCAAAGACAGGTTCTACCACATGGTCCGAATCTTGGCCAAACATCGTCACAACTGATTTTGAGACATATTGCGTCGAGATGCATTGGCCCGCGCTTGCACAACACGCTTTGTCTTGGATGTAATGCACCCTTGCCGAACCACGTCTAGCAACTGCAACTCGGAGACTCAGTGCTGGGCTGGGACTCGTTGGCAGGCCTTGCTGGAACGGTGCATCCCCATCTCAACCAAAAGTGCAAGAAAATGCAGCAGCGTACGACCTGAGCCGCCGGCTCAGCCCTGGCCGTATCAGCCACAGCCACTTCAGACGCCGCGTTGGCAGCTGACCTCAGAAAACTGCTGGGAACAGGTTTGGCTGATTCCGAGCGGCGACCCGGCCAACCAATGAGATTGCTTCAGTAGTCAGGAGCGGAAGCAGTTACTGAGCAATGTTCTGTTCGTCAGGAAACACCATCTCAAACATCATCAACACCTGTCAAAATAAGTTCATATGGTGCCTATGTCATCTTTGTAAGCCAATCCACGGCCCACTGATAAGCTGCAGAATCTGCCTCCGGTTCATGCTGGTTTGGGCAAGTGCACAGGCAACAACTGAGACGGAGTGACTGTTGTGATTCTTGTGCCGACCTCCGGTCAGCAACGCAAGCAAGCAGGATGGACCAAAACCAGGTTATACCACATGGATCGAATCTTGGCCAAACATCGTCACAACTGATTTTGAGACATATTGCGTCGAGATGCATCTGCCCGCGCTTGCACAACACATTTTGTCTTGGATGTAATGCACCCTTGCCGAACCACGTCTAGCAACTGCAACTCGGAGACTCAGTGCTGGGCTGGGACTCGTTGGCAGGCCTTGCTGGAACGGTGCATCGCCATCTCAACCAAAAGTGCAAGAAAATGCAGCAGCGTACGACCTGAGCCGCCGGCTCAGCCCTGGCCGTATCAGCCACAGCCACTTCAGACGCCGCGTTGGCAACTGACCTCAGAAAACTGCTGGGAACAGGCTTGGCTGATTCCGAGCGGCGACCCGGCCAACCAATGAGTTTGCTTCAGTAGTCAGGAGCGGAAGAAGTTACTGAGAAATGCCCGTCAGGAAACATCATTTCAAACATCATCAACACCCGTCAAAATAAGTTCCAATGGTGCCTATGTCATCTTTGTAAGCCAATCTACGGCCCACTCCTAATAAGCCTAAGCTGCAGAATCTGCCTCCGGTTCATGCTGGTTTGTGCAAGTGCACAGGCAACAACTGAGATGGACTGATTATTGTGATTCTTGTGCTGACCTCCGGTCAGCAAAACCAAAAACAGGTTCATCTTGGCCAACCATCGTTATGACTGAATTAACGACATATTGCGTCGAGATACAGCGGCCCGCGCTTGCACAACACGTTTTGTCTTGGATCTAACGCACCCTTGCCGAACCACGTCTAGCAACTCGGAGACTCAGTGCTGGGCTGGGACTCGTTGGCAGGCCTTGCTGGAACGGTGCATCGCCATCTCAACCAAAAGTGCAAGAAAATGCAGCAGCGTACGACCTGAGCCGCCGGCTCAGCCCTGGCCGTATCAGCCACAGCCACTTCAGACGCCGCGTTGGCAGCTGACCTCAGAAAACTGCTGGGAACAAACTTGGCTGGTTCCGCGCGTCGACCCGGCCACTGTTGCACATACTCCCGGAACCAATGAGATTGCTTCAGTAGTCAGGAGCGGAAGCAGTTACTGAGCAATGTTCTGTTCGTCAGGAAACACCATCTCAAACATCATCAACACCTGTCAAAATAAGTTCATATGGTGCCCATGTCATCTTTGTAAGCCAATCCACGGCCCACTCCTAAGCTGCGGAATCTGCCTCCGGTTCATGCTGGTTTGTGCAAGTGCACAGGCAACAACTGAGACGGAGTGATTGTTGTGGTTCTTGTGCTGACCTCCGGTCAGCAACGCAAGCAAGCAGGATGGACCAAAACCAGGTTCTACCACATGGTTCGAATCTTGGCCAAACATCGTCACAACTGATTTTGAGACATATTGCGTCGAGATGCATCTGCCCGCGCTTGCACAACACGTTTTGTCTTGGATGTAATGCACCCTTGCCGAACCACGTCTAGCAACTGCAACTCGGAGACTCAGTGCTGGGCTGGGACTCGTTGGCAGGCCTTGCTGGAACGGTGCATCGCCATCTCAACCAAAAGTGCAAGAAAATGCAGCAGCGTACGACCTGAGCCGCCGGCTCAGCCCTGGCCGTATCAGCCACAGCCACTTCAGACGCCGCGTTGGCAGCTGACCTCAGAAAACTGCTGGGAACAAACTTGGCTGGTTCCGCGCGTCGACCCGGCCACTGTTGCACATACTCCCGGAACCAATGAGATTGCTTCAGTAGTCAGGAGCGGAAGCAGTTACTGAGCAATGTTCTGTTCGTCAGGAAACACCATCTCAAACATCATCAACACCTGTCAAAATAAGTTCATATGGTGCCTATGTCATCTTTGTAAGCCAATCCACGGCCCACTCCTAAGCTGCAGAATCTGCCTCTGGTTCATGCTGGTTTGTGCAAGTGCACAGGCAACAACTGAGATGGACTGATTGTTGTGATTCTTGTGCTGACCTCCGGTCAGCAACACCAAAAACAGGTTCTACCACATGGTTCGAATCTTGGCCAAACATCGTTAGAACTGAATCAACGACATAATGCGTCGAGATGCAGCGGCCCGCGCTTGCACAACACGTTTTGTCTTGGATGTAACGCACCCTTGCCGAACCACGTCTAGCAACTCGGAGACTCAGGGCTGGGCTGGGACTCGTTGGCAGGCCTTGCTGGAACGGTGCATCGCCATCTCAACCAAAAGTGCAAGAAAATGCAGCAGCGTATGACCTGAGCCGCTGGCTCGGTTCTGGCCGTATCAGCCGCAGTCGCGTCAGACGCGCCGTTGGCAGCTGACCTCAGAAAACTGATGGGAGCGATTGACTGGCCATGAGATATGAGGACTCTCTCAAAAATGTGTTCAAGTGATGCTTGTGTCATCTTTCCTATGCCACCTCCTGTGCCCACTTTCAAGCTGTGGAGATCTTGCTGGCTACCGGAAAATGAACCAGTACATCTTGTCTTTTTTGAACAAAGGGCAAAGGCTCTTGTGCTGACCGCCACTCAGCAACTGAAACGAGTAGGAGAGGATGGCCAGAAACAGGCTCTAGCACATGGGTTAGATTGCTCGAATGTGTGCTCAACATCACCATGCGCTGGAACACACGCACTTTCGCAACACGTTTTGTCTTGGATCTATCGCACCCTCGCCGAAACTCGGAGAGTGCTGGGCTGCGGCTCTTGGTTGGCAGGCCTTACTGGAGAGCCAACCTCAGCAACTGCCGCATCAGCCGCATGAGCCGCTGGCTCGGTTCTGGCCGTCTCAGCCGCAGCTGCGACAGATGCGCCGCTGGCAGCTGACCTCAGAAAAATGAGCTGGCGCGGGCGATTGACGCCCCATGTGCCATGTGCCGTCCTGGCGATGACTTGTCGTGGACTATATAAGTTTGGAATCGCACGTGCTGGCAATCTTTTCGTGCACCATTTCCCTGGGCTGACAACACCTTCATTTTGCACAACAACATGCTCCACTTAAATTGCAACTTGTCCTGTACACATGAATGTGGATTGTTTTTTTCTGGCCCCCCCCCACCCGCAATGGGAAGTTTCAATTCGTTCTCCCTGAAACAACATCTCAACAAAACGTACCCTCAAGAACATCAAACAACGACACAGCATTGTATTCTCTTGGCTTCCTCCCAAGCTAAGTCTGTGCATCAAAACCAATTAGTTTCTTATTTGGGCTTGGCTCAAAACTAAGCAGGGGGGGGGGTTACGCAGGCCCATTTTCCACTTACCAGGGTGCCATGTTGGGTACCGTTTTTTTGAGCCACAGCCATTTGATCTTATCTGTGGAAGAAGGTTGCACGAAATGTGGCAAGTCCTGGGTTCCTGGGTTCCTGGGGGCGGGGAAAAGGGGGGGGGCAGTGGCTTGGAAGCAAGCAACATTCTCTTGGAGCCGTTTTTATCGCATCACATGTAGATACTTAAGGTGGTAGCTTGGACCCTTGAAGATGAAGCGTCTTGTATGGTCCGCACTGGTTCTCATGTTGTTCTTTCCTGCTTTGGAAGCATGAGGATGCGTTGATGTTTTGATTCTGCGACTCTTGTTTTTGGGGAGGGGGAGGTGGCTGGGGAAAGCAACGGGAACCCCACCAACTGGTCAGTTCCAAGGCCCAGACGCACTCTCCGCACTCGCTGAATCCATGGCTGAGCAGATCAGGAACCACCCTACATCGGGCCTGCCGAGTCTTTTCAAACGTAGGACACACCTCAAGTCTTGGACTTAAATCCCCACCTCAAGTGTCCGAACAAGAGTGAGACTGTCACCTGGGACGGCCTCAGCTCGGAACATCGGTCGGTCGGTCGAGGGCCTCATCAGCAAGCTGCCCGAAAGCTCCCGAACGGGTGTCGCAATGAAAGCGCGCGGGGTTCTGTGAGCACAAAAGGTGGGGAAACTTCGGTTTGTCTGTCCAAAGACCAACCAGTTGGGTCACAAACAACTTCACCCCACTGATCCGGCCCCTACAAAAAGTGGCAAACGGGAAAACAAAGGAACCCCAAAAAGGCGCAAAACGTAGTTCAGTCTGACAATGAGGCAATGCTCCTTTTCCCGGCGCTTCGGCCTCTCCAACTTCCGGAGGTGGCCCCTGACTCGCTGAGCTGATCCGCCGGAAAATCAAGAAACCGAGCACCCCTTAACTGTTGGTTCTACGATATATATATATATATATACACATACACATGTATCCATATACACAGAGACAGATATATGTATGCATTTATAACATGTATAAATGTGTATATATATATATGCATGGCTCTTAGAACATGTTGAAGTATCATTGCAGTACTCATGGATTGCACTGAGTGAAGTGTGTGGGCTAGGGGAATGTGGCCCAACGGCCCATCCCATTTTCTCTAAAAGCAACAACATCCCTTGAACCGGGGATTTCATACTGGAGGAATCCATTGATTACCGAGGAAGTCGGTAACCTTTTCGAGTGCAAGTGAAGGGGCTTTTAAGAAGCTACGCCCTTCGGCGCTGAGTCTGCAGCGTGGATTTGGTTTTAGCCATAGTCAAGCCACCCTGATGTGGCCATGCTGTATGGTTTCTTTGACAAGAAGCCTGACAATGGCTCTCTAAAACTCCTTCTAAAGCGTTCACGCAACATCCCTCACCCCAAGAAAGCAGGTCTTGTTATCACTTCTTCCCTTCGCGCGCAAATTCTCAGGACAAACTTCTGATACAGGCCACCCTTCGAGTGAGCTGTATTCGCAACCACTGCAACGGCAATCACCTAAACTTGTAGCCGAAAAAGGCAAACACTTCCAGCGTGTCCCAAATAACCATAAACAAGACCACAACTCACAGCATAAGCTGCGATACTTGCACACGTCTGATCCCTTTGGATTGACTTCGGTGACCCTACCAATTCGATCAAATCAGTCCCTACACAATGAGGCAGTCACTTTTCATTGATCTGGCGGGCAGATCAATCCAAAGCGGACATCACAGGCATGCGGGAACAAAGTCTTGGACGGATGCTCGTAAACAATTGGCTGCGCCCTCAACATCGCAGCGCGCGGGTTGCAGCGCCCACATCTCCAAGTGTGAAGTTGTAACAGCATCCCCCGGACAAAATATCAAATGAGAAAGCGCGAATACGTGCTACTCAAGACCGATACCCACGTGCAAAACTAGGAATCGTCCCACCCAAAATCGATCTCGATGTTGTCCGTTGCTCATTTCCGACCGGAAAAAGGCCTGCAACGGGCCCCCTGACAACCATGAACCCCCTTCAACTCCGCCCCGTTCGACTGAGGAGTCGTTGAAACAAGTTCTCTGACAGTTCCAAAACCTGACAGGGACTTCCAAGTAGACCCACGGTGAGCTCATTTTACCCTCGGGTGAGCTCGAAACCCGAAGCTTGTATGGCAAACAAAAGGCGCCGCAGCAGCACGCTGACTGCGGAGCTGCCTGCAGTCTACTCAGTCGGCTCGGGACCTGGCCGGAGTCCCCTGTTTCTTCAGTACAGGGCGCCTCTTTAAGCGCCTTTGAACCACTCCCTTGTTTGGATTCCCGCCGGAAGTGGTCAATCAACCCCAAGAAGCACAGGGCGCCTTTAAATATTTTCTGCTGAGAATGGTCAACAACGAAAATCACCAACTCCCAAAAGCGGTCCCTTCATGAACGTGTCTGCATTTCGAGCTTGGATCTGTTTGAGGATGGACCCAGCAGCCTCTCACCCCCAAAAGGCAACCCCTTTTCATAGCGAGTACGCCCCTCGTACCCATAAGGCACATGAAGGGTCCGTTGCCAGTCAAAGTTGACTTTCTCAGCAAAGGATCCATTTCAATGGGAATCATGACTCTGCCCACCTGGTTCCCATGTGCTCGTTTTGGTAAAGTGTGGAATTGTCTGCTCATTTAGATCCCGCAAAACCAATTCAATCCTTCACCGGGTGTGGGCACAAAAGGGGTGCTAAAATTTTGGAACCTGCGGATTTGGGGCGGTAAGGTTCCAACTCCAAATATCTATTCCCAAAGAAAACTGGCCTGCCAAGAAAGGATTCCAGAATTTACACCCCTCCAATCAAAAGTTCAAGCAACCAGTTCACCACCCCGTGTGAAGCTTCGTGGGCGCTTTCCGCCCGAAAAATGAACAAAACAACTGGCGCCTGCCAGCCAGGGTCATCCGGCAGCAGGGACCTATAGTGAGCTGGAGGGTTGGGTGCTTGCTGCACAGAAGAAGAAACGACGTGGCTCTTTGTGGCGGCTTGTCAGATGCGCTGCTGGCAGCTGACCTCAGAAAACAAACGAGCAGGTGCCGGCGGTTGACATGCAATATTGCTGGGCTGACAATACCATCATTTTGCAAAATATCCGCTTAAATTGCAACTTGTCCTGGGAGAACATCTTCCAAGGTGGGAATACTAAGCATCAAGTTGCATATGAATGTGGCTTTGTCTCTAAATGTGGCCCTTCACAATGGGTGTGTTCAATTTCGTTCTCCCTGAAACAGTCAAGAACATCAACCAACGACACACCATTGTGTTCTCTTGGCTGCCTCAACCTAAGTCTGTGCATCAAACCAATTATGTACTTATTTGCGGAAGAAGATTGCATGAACTGTTGCAAGTCCTGGCTTCCAGGGAGGGGGGGGGGCAGTGGCTTGGAAGCAAGCAACATTCTCTTGGAGTCATTTATCGCATCACATGTAGATGCTTAAGGTGGTAGCTTTGAAGCGTCTTGTATGGTCCGCACTGGTTCTCATGTTGTTCTTTCCTGCTTTGGAAGCATGAGGATGCGTTGATGTTTTGATTCTGTGACTTTCTTTTTTGGGGAGGGGGAGGTGGCTGGGGGAAGCACCGGTCACCCCCAAATTCTTTAAGTCTCACTGGTCTTCCAAGGCCCAGACGCACCCTCCGCACTCGCTCCCATGGCTGAGCCGCGAGACTGATCAGGCAACACCCTACATCGGGCCCGAGTCTTGTGGGCTCCTCTTTTGCCAATGGGAAAGTATGGCGATTTCGCTGACATGGGGAACCACCTCTGCTTGCCGGACTTAAATCCCAAAGTGTCAACATTGAGACCCCTGAAATTGAAGTCCCTGTCAGCGACGGCCTCAGTTCGGAACATCTGTCGGTCGAGGGCCTCGTAATCAGCAAGCCTACTTTCAGACCCATTCAAAGCCCTATGAGATGTCTGCCCGAAAGCTCCCAAAGCCTTCACAATCACACAGCATGGGGTTCTGTGAGCAAAAAGGTGGAACCTTCGGTTTGTCTCTCCAAAGAACAACCCACTTCGTGCCTCATGGAAAACCGGAAACAAAGCAGCCCCAACAGGCCACAGTACCAAAAGGCTGGTTCAGTCTGTCAACGTAAACTTGGTGCTGCCCAAGCAGTTTTGCACTTTCTGTGGGTCATAAAGTGTCCTGAAAAGCTGCTGAAGTTCAAAGATCCAAGCACATGGCCATAACTTACTTGCCCAAAGGACCTGGACATCGGTTTACCTTTCGGAACCTTGGGAAAGGCAAACGGGAAAAGTGGCAAACGGGAAACCAAAGGAACCCCAAATGGCAAAGGATGGCACTGCTTCTTTTCCCGGCGCTTCGGCCTCTCCAACTTCCGGACATTGCAAGGTGCGGGAGTCGCTTGGCCGACTCGCTGAGCTGATCCGCTGGAAAGTCAAGAAACCGAGCACCCCTTAACTCTCTTGGTTCTACGATACACACACACACATCTCTCTCTCTCTCTCTCTCTCTCTCTCTCTCTCTCTCTCTCTCTCTCTCTCTCTCTCTCTCTCTCTCTATATATATATTTGCACATATAAATACACATGTATCGATATGCACATGGACAGATATATATGCATATATATATATATGTATGTATATATATATATATATTTGTGTATGCATGGCTCTTAGGACATGTTGAAGTATCATTGCAGTACTCATGGATTGCACTCGGTGAATTTCATGGGCTAGGGGAATGTGGCCCAACGGCCCATCCCATTTTCTCTAAAACAAGAAATGCCCTTGAAACGAAGATTTCATGCTAGAGGAATCCATTAATTTCCAAGGAAGTCGGAAGCCTTTTCGAGTGCACGTCGAGGCGTGTTTAAGAAGTGGCTGGACAAAAGCGAAGCAGTTCCTCCTGCTTCGGGGGGAAAACGACACACGTTCCTCGGTTGCTCAGCACTCAGCTGTCTTTGTCTCTTTGTCGTTTCCTCCTTTTTTTTCCTCTCTCTCTCTCTCTATGGGCCTTTCGCAATAGAAACACCTACAACAAATTTCCACTGATGTGTTTTGCGCGTTCTGCTGATTCGGTTCGATTCACTCACACGAAGGGCAAACCCCTTCATCGGCTCAGCAAGTAAGTTGTCCGGGAAAGGCCCACTCTGGGGCATTTCCTCTGGACCCAGGCTACGCCCTTCGGCGCTGAGTCTGCAGCATGGATTTGGTTTTAGCCATAGTCAAACCACTCTGATATGGCCATGCTGTATGGTTTCTTTGACAAGAAGCCTGACAATGGCTGTCTATCACTCCTTCTAAAGCGTTCATGCAACATCCCTCACCCCAAGAAAGCAGGTCTTGTTATCACTTCTTCCCTTCGCGCGCAAATTCTCAGCACAAACTTCTGATACAGGCCACCCTTCGAGTGAGCTGCATTGGCAACCACTGCAACGGCAACCACCCAAACTTGTAGCCCGAAAAAGCAAACACTTCCAGCGTGCCCAAACAAATTGATCAAAACAGTCCCTACACAATGAGGCAGTCACTTCTCATTGATCTGGCAGGCAGATCAATCCAAAGCGAACATCACAGGCATGCAAGAACAAAGTCTTGGGCGGATGCTCGTAAACAATTGGCTGCACCCTCAGCAGAGTACCCAAATTAGAGTAAACCACCCATCGCAGCGCGCGGGTTGTGCCCACTTTTATGGCAGATCTAAAAGCCGCCGCAGCCGCGCGAGCGGCTTCGGCCCAAAGCACGCTGACTGCGGAGCTGGTGCCTGCAGTTTACTCAGCAATCGGCTCGGGACCTGGCCGGAGTATGTCCCCGGTGTCTTCGCTAGATGCAGGGCGCCTTTATGCGCCTTTGAACCACTCCCTTGTTTGGATTCCCGCCGGAAACGGTCAATCAACCCGAAAAAGCATGCAGGGCGCCGTTAAATTTCCTGCTGAACATGGTCAACACTTAAAATGGTCAACTACCAAAAGCGGGTCCCTTCATGCACGTGTCTGGGCTTCGAGCTTGGATCTGTTTGAGGATGGAAGCACCTCACCCCCAAAAGGCGACCCCTTTTCATGGCGAGTACGCCCCTCATACCCATAAGGCACATGAAGGGTCCGTTGCCAGTCAAAGTTGACTGTTCTCAGGAAAGGATCCATTTCAATGGGAATCATGACTCTGCCCACCTGGTTCCCATTTGCTCATTTTGGTAAAGTGTAGACCCCTCTGCTGATTTAGCTCCTGCCAAAACCACACCAGTTCTTCACCGAATGTAGGCCCAAACTCCAAATATCCATTCCCAAAGAAACATGGCCTGGCAAGAACGGAATTCCAGAATTTACACCCCTTCCGTCAAAAGCTTTAAGCAACCAGTTCAAAAAGGTGAGCGCCACCCCGGTTTTGAAGCTTCCCGGGTGCTTGCTGCCTGAGAAAGGAATCAAACACCCGCCTGCCAGCTCAGGGTCATCTGGCAGCAGGGACCTGACGTTGGGAGGGGTTGGTGACACGCTGCCTGCAGTCTGGTCAGCCCAAAGAAGAAACACGGCCCTTTGTAGCAGCTTGGGCCAGAGAACTGCCCGAAGCCTGCAAGAAACATCATCTTTAGAGGTATCTCCATCTGGCAGGCCCACAAGTGTGGCTTTTATATTGCGCAGTCGGGCTTACAGGCCACTTCTTGTGCTACAATGCTGGCAAGAGTCTATACCAGCGGAAAATGTGGAGCGATGGAACATCTGCCTTTCTCGCTGTCCGGGGCGTTTTCCAAGCTTTGGAGGGACATGCGCGGCAGGCTTGGGTTCCACACGAGCTGTCGAATCTCTCGAGAGATCTGCTCCTCACCAAGTTTGATTCTGCGCTGCGAGTTTTGGAAACGGTGGAGTGGGCTATTCTTGGTTGCTGTGAACCCTGCAGAAAGGGTTAACTTTTTGTGGGTTTTCGGAAAACCCTTGAAAAGGTGACCTCTAAAGATCCAAGTAGCAATCGCTGACGTAGCGGCAGTTGCCCCTTGCCCTACGCCTTTGGTACTTTTGGCCTTAACTCCCACGCAACTCCAAGCCCTCCAAGAAGTTCTCTTGCATCGTTGCACGCTTTTGCCTGCTGCCGCTCTTGCCGAACATCGGCCATGGTGTACCGGCAGTGGACAGCATGAACTTCTTGGATGGATGGCCCGGGATCGGTGGCCGGAATTTTGGGAAGCCGTGATGCCGGAATAGGCGAGAGGGATTCCCTTCTTGCCCGGTTTGTGGATGACATGATGATGCTTTCGTGGTGTTGGGCGGTTTGCCTTCATGCCGCGCGCAGGTATTGCCCGAGTGCCCCAAGGCCTTGCGGACAAACAGATGCTTGTGCGGCCAGTAGACACGTTAACCGGCATGGGTTTTTGGTGGGAAGAATATGGCTACCCATCCGTAAATGCACAGTGCAAGGCAAAGGCATCTCCCTGTCTATGTACTGAGTATGGATACGTGTGCATCTATTGTACTTGCACATGCACACAGAGCAACATATCTAAATTATGCAACATATCTAAATTATGCAGAGGCGCGCTCCAACCGAGCCGAACAAGGCAGCCTTGGTTGCTGTAACGACCCCTCTGCAAACAGTTCTCCACTTTTGTGGGTCCAATTCGGAAAATCTGCTGTATTTCTGAACAGTTCAAGTCCAGACTTCCAATCAACTAGCCAAAAAGGAGTGGCAGTGTGGGCTTTGTTGAACCTAACATGGCGGTCCCCCAAAAAGAGATCTACAATTGACAGTGCTGCGTCCATGTGGCTGTCAAGAAATGTACCAAAATGACACCTTGGCAAATGGAACCCACAACTAAAACCTGCTCAACACCCTAGCTCTTGAGTTTTGAGCCACACCCCGGCAAATTTGCGGGGATGTGCACTCAAGGCAGGGCCCCCGGCCGTGTGTCCAGTCGGATCCGCCGCTGGGCAACGATGGCCTCGCACCGAAACATCAAAGGCGGGGCCCGGACGTTAACACCTTTCCCCTTTGGGGTAATCCTAAACAAAGATAGACTCAAATGAAAACCCACTCATTGTTTGGACAGTTCCTCCGTTTGAGCCCAAAGCCCAAGTCTCAGCCACGCCTGTCCTAACGGTTCCGCCTTTCATCGGTTGGCCAAGTTTGAGGTGAAACAGGACCCTACTTTTGACAACCCCCATTTTGATGTCGTGCAAGTACTAAACCAGGCCGCCTGACAAGGGAGGATTACGAAACCACTAGGGCGGAAGCGGACCCTTTTGTAGCTTGGTTCTCCAGTCCAATCCAAAAAAAAAGCGAAACTGGCACACTGCGAGTTGTGTCCCCCCCCCCCGGAAAGAGGGCAGAAGTGCGCTCAAGATCGGGAAGAGACGGATTCGTGAGCCCGCGTGGCTGCCCCCTAAACGACCCCAGGTTGCAAAGCCGGTTCTATTCGAGGCGGACCCCTCCAAAAGTGGTCTGAGTCCCGAAAGCGGGACACCCCCCAAGCAACTCAAGCAGGGGGCTAATGAATCTGGGGTCAACAAGTTAGTGTGAATGAAGCTGGTCACTCGTCACCCCAAAAGTCGAACAGGGGGCCGAAGGCCGAAGGACGGCTTGACGTCGATCGGATTCGAGCGCACCAGGCAGGACACGGCCACAATGGCGACCATGGCCATGGCACCCGGCAAGAGCCGGCCCGCCTCGAATCGACCGATGAATCTCACCTCTTGGTTTCTCCTTGGACGATTCTTGGCTCCAAAAGGTGATCAGCTTTGATTTCTGGGTGCAAACAACTGAGATAACCTTGGGCTTCTTCCATCAGAACTTTGCAGAAGCCTCGAAAAGGCGGTTGATGGACACAAATTCCCCTATGGTACAGGAGAGGGGTGCCCAGTAATTCACAGCTGGCCGGTGGCTTCACCCCCCCCCCCAAAGCTCCGGGAGCCCCAAAGCGACGGGGCTGGAGGGCTGGGCCCTGGACTCCGGGCGAATGGGCACAAGGCTGGCGAATTCGGGGTGGCTCTGGCGAGGTCGACTTTCAACCCCCCTGCCAAAAGCAAGCCAAAGAAAAAAAACATCCAGTGGGTTCTTTAAAAAGAGACGCCCAACTCACTTCCTGAGTGGACAGGCCAAACAAAAAGTTCAATGTTCTGCTTCCCACTAAAATGGTCGTCCACCAAAAAAAGGGAGTCCATGAACGCCCTTCTTGCCATTCACAACCAGCCCCGCTATGGCTTGGGCATAGAAAATAAGCCCATGCGCAAGAATCCCCCGTGTTCAGCCCGTGGACCTTGGATGAAATGACGCGGATCTCAGCTGGGCCCTTTGCCCTCTGAATTCACACACACGAAACCGCCGACACAAATGCAATGGTTCTCAGGAAGTCTCCTCAACACGTGGTTCGTTGGGTTCCATGTTCACCCTGCCCAGTTTGCACGAAGTCACAGGCTCACCTTTTGGGCCTGAAGTCGATTCGCTCTCAAGGGGACCCCCGCCACCGTTTTTGATGGCCCTTGGATGAGGTTTTTCAAGTTCGAAGGGAACCCCACGGGGTAAAAAAATCCGCTGTGCGTGGGGGGATCTGGGGCGGACACCGCCGCCGGAGCGATCTTGGGGAGGGCCGCCTTGGACCTCGCGAGCTTCAAGCCCCGTTTCGGGTGGTCCAACGGGAAACCAAAGGGAAACCACACCTTTTTCCGCGGTGTTCCCCTATTTTCAGACCACCTGGACCCTCAAACCACCAATACCAATTGGAAATTATGGGTGTCCGTTTGTTTATGGATAGTTGGTCTAGGTGCCCCTTTTTAGGGGTTGCTTCAAAGCGAAGCCAAAGGGAAACCGCCACAAGACAAGTTGCCGGGTTTGGTCGCACTGCGCGAGAGTTACAGTCAGGTGCCAAAAGGGTAATTACGGATCAAACAAGGGCAATCGAGAAAGGTGTCAATGCTGCCCAAATAGTTGAAATCCAAAGATCCAACCAAATAGCTGTAGCGAACCTCTGCCTGTCAGGCCATTGAAGGAAACAACATCTTGCGTGGCCTTGGGGCATTTACCACAGCTGACATCTAATTCCAGCCTCCTTCCAAGAACTTGTTGTCCCATTTCTTCCTCAACCTTGTCCCTACTCTCAGGGTCGACCTCTTCTTGTTCCGCTTCAAGTTCTGACAGTGGGACTTCCAGCACCAATTTGTCACTAAGGGGTTTGGCTCAGCCACTCACAGGCACTTTCTGACCCATTTTTCCACATCCGTGGAGGTCAGTTTTTTTTTCTCCGTTCGGGCCAACCTCACTGTCAAACCAAGGAGGGCACAAGGAAGCTGTCGGCAAATCACAAGCCCACTTCCGATTTGTAGTGGACGGGCCAAGCACAAATCCGACCTTTTTGCTTATCCCCCAACAAGTTCCAAACCGAAGCAGTGACTAAAGTCAATACCAAATGGCACCTTTGTAAATCGAATTCAAGACTAAACCCTGCGTAACCCTAGCTCTTAAACTTTGACTCCCACCCAAATCACAAGCCATGCGTCCTGCCGGAGCCGAGTCTCTGCGAATTGCTTCAGCCCCCTGGAAAAAATGAAAATATGTTGAGGAGTGAAATCGATTCCAACTTTAAAACCAACAGGGGAAAAACCAACATATATTCATTTCAGCAAATTGGAAGGGGATGCATCCTCTCTTGGTTCAGCACGTGGCTCCGGCCGAGCGTTTGCCGCCTTTTTCTTTTTGTGAGACACACTGATTCCTTGTTGGTTTCGGCGAGGCGCTGCAGATAGGTGTCCATCTCGCCGCACCGCAGCTTGCCGCCCCGCACGTCCGTGGCCTCGCGTTGTTGCGCGCCGCTTTCAACGCAAATTGGCGTCGACTCGAAGCGCCCAAAGCGACCCAAGTTGGACGCGGGGAAAAACCGCTACTTAAAGCTTGGTTGCTGTTGACCCTCCCGCAAAAAGTTTGACTTTCTGGGGGTTTAGTGGAAACCCCTTGGTTTCCAAAAAGTTGAACCCTAAAGATCCAACCCAATAGCAATCAAGAAAGGGGCAGTGCACTTAGTAAGTGGTTAGTAAGTCTGGTTATAACCCACACAGGAGACTTATAGCCATGGCTGTTGTGGGTCATAACCAGGCTTACTCACCACTAAGTACAATGCCCCAAGTATATGACAACAACATGTTGCTGGTGTCAACGTGCTCGAGTGGCACTGGTCAATTCGCCGCCACCTGCCACGGGGGATGCCCGTTTTTTTTTTTTTTTTTTTTTTTTTTTTTTTTTTTTTTTTTTTTTTTTTTTTTTTTTTAAATCTCCTTCTTTTCTTCTTCTTCTTCTTCTTCTTTTTCTTCTTTTTTTTTCTTCCGCATGTTGCTTTTGGGCAATGCACACCACCAAGGCCTGATTTGATTGAGCAACTCCCGCGCAGGCGGAAAACCCCGCTCTGAAAAGGGAAAGGTCGCCTTAAAATGAAGTAACCGCAATGAAGCAACCGCTCTGTTTGAGGCACGCCAAGAAAAGAGAAAGGTCGCCTTTTCGAGCCCAAGGACCAGATCTGCAAATTCTGACCCAATCCGAAATGGATCCCTTGCCGTGAAGGAGACCTACATCTAGGTCCTCCAGTAGAGAGGCTAGAAACAGGGTACCCGATCTTTTTTCTGCAGTCTATTTTAGTAGGGGAACCCTCCAAGCCAAAAAAAGGGGTGAAAGGGCACTGCTGGGGGACCTAGTCATGGTCTTCGCTCGTTTTTCCCTCCTGGGCAGAAAGATGAGACCGCGCCTGCATAGGCAAGGCTGCAAAGGGGGGACAATGGCAGGTCTGCATGAACACCTGGCGCCGCGTTGGTCCATAGGCTGGGGGGTGGCAAAGGTCATGCCTGACACGCCAGAAAAACACCTCGCTACAGGGGTTTCTCAAAAATGGTGGACACTTTTTTTGGAGAACTTCAAAAATAAACCAACAGCAAGCACGCCATAAAATGTGCCCCCCCTATTTTGAGAAGCATCAGATGTTGGTAAGTGCTACAGCTTGAACCGAACTTTGTGATGCTAGGGCCGGTGAACTAAGCGCAGGCAATGCTGGACTTGGCAGGGCATGCCGGGCGAAGCTGTGCCTACATAGCCCACACCGGTGGAAGGCATTAACAAACAAGGCCAATTGAAACGAAAGGTTCGCTTGCTTGCGCGTGAGGTTTACACGTGAGTGCTGCTGAAAAGCAACCTCAGGGGAACACAATGCATTCATCTATGCATCCGTCGATAACTTGTATTCGCGCAAACCACCAGCCCGTCATAACGCCTACATTTGTACTCAAGAGCCAACAATTCAGACCAGCCTTCGGCGTCCGCGAGCCCCAAACGGCCCAATATAGAGGGCCTGTTGACTTACCCGCCCATGTTGATGACTTAAGCCAACAGGACAGGCAAAACAAGTGCGATACCGACAAGCCCAAAACGTCATCTTGGAGAGGGAGTGTTTTTTCTTTCAAAGGACCAGAGGGGTTGAATTTCATCCGAAGTTCTGGTTTCTTCGGATTCCAGATGGCGGTTTTTTCGTGGGCAATTGGGAGAATTATTTGTTTGTTGCACAAGAGGAGGGTCTGGCAAATCATCTGTTCCCTGTGAGGTTCCTGTGTAGGAACATGTTTAGGCCAAATTCCTGGCTACCTGTCATGATTCTTTTTCTGAGGGTACTTTTGTTTTGGTCGCTGTGAAGGGGGAGCAAAGAGACAACCAATTTTTGGAAAATTTGGAAATTCCCCCGATTTTGCGAGAACTCAGATCAAAAAACGACCTGTCCTCTGCTGCTTTCCCTTCGGCTAAATCAATCAATTCCAGTATGGTTGCTGCTTGGCACCCAGGCGTCCCCGGATCCCGTGTGCCAGTCACGGCCCGTTGCCGTAATTTTCCTCTAAAAGCAACTGAACCAAACACTGACTGGCCTGTGCGAATGCATACTTCATGCTGCAAACATCTGGGAAAGGTGGCTGTGGGTCAACAATATGCTTCCAAAATGCCTTGCCCTGGTAAACGGAAACTTGGACTACAACCTGCGGTCCGATTCCTGGTGGTTGAATTTTGACCCACACCCAGGTCGACCTGAAGTCAAGACCGGCCCATGGGTGAGACTCGATCTTGTGAGTGAGCTCCTCAGCGACCAAGTGGACAAGTTAGTAAAACCCGGCCTCGAGTGACTCGTCCGTTGCCTACAAGAAAGCCCCAAAAAGTAAAAGGGCTACCATGTAAATATAGGGAAACAGGGACTGGTGCGACATCCTAACTAACGACGATTCCTAGTTTCCAGTTGAGGGATCTGCAGATTGCACTTAAATCCAAAACAACAAATGGATCCCCAGAACTCCGTGCTGGGCAAACGTCGAAGGCAAAGTACTCGGCCAGGGGCTGCTTCACGCAATGCGCCTGCGACGCCAAGGCGAGGCGGATTCGGCGGCTCGCTCCTCCGTTCCCATTTCGTTAGTTTGGTCTTCTGGTTCCATGTGAGTCACAATCAAACCCCGGTATTAAAATGGTCTACCCAGAACCATGTAAAGAACTAACAAGGCGGCCGCAACTATTTCTGGCTGGGACTGCCCCCTTGCTAACCTTCATCTACCCAGGTCTTGATTGCGGCTCATGTTGGTCCGGGCAAATGAGCAACGAAGCCCTGCCCGCGCAAACACAACGCCAAGACATGTGAGTGCAACATCAGGCGGCTTGGATTGCTTTGGGGCTCGCCTTTTGGTCACACAGGCCCCAAGCGAAAACGGAATTTATCGGCGCGTGTCATTGGGCTTGGCATGGGATGCCAAAACGATTCCAAAACTCTTCGGGGCCAAAAACAGCAAACATACAAAGAGTTGACATCGGTTGACCGCTGCCCTTTTGGGTCGTGAATTCAGCGACATGACGCCAACCATCCGAAGGCGCTCGTTTTGGCCCTCGTCCGGCGCCTGACACGCATCGCTGTCCTCTGTTACCACCGGCAGGTGGCCCGGAAAGTCCATCCTGCAGTGTGAGAATGGAAGTGGAGTGCAGTAGTCACCTCCTCCTGAAAAACACCCCCAAAAGTACTCGATCACGTACTTTTTTGGGAAAACCTGGAAGCCTCCTGAAAAACTGGCCGACTCTCTTCTCATGTTCCATACTTGTTGCATTCGCCCTTCCGCTGTTTCTTGGAAGGAGACCTACGAACAAACCTCCGAAGTTGGCATACTCATAGCCATAATTTTGGTGTATATACACATGCATATGACATAAAAGTATATACAAATATGTTTGTTTGTATAGATTTCTACCAGCCATCACAATATATGTATATATATGTATGTACACATGCAGCCAACCTTGCCTTTGGCACATATATGTATATATATATATACAGACATGTTTGTACAGATTTCTACCGACTGCATAAGAATCAGGCAAGGCATGGATGGCGGATTCCTTACCCGTGACCTTCGGTCTGACTGAGGCTGTGGCACCGTGTAGGTCTGACTCTTCTTGGCGCACTCCGGCGGGACTTCCTGCGCCAACGAGCTTGGGAGGGTGGCAGTTGCAGAAAGCCTGGGGTCCGAGTGTGGGTTATCATCTAGCTACTCAGTTTGAAGTGGTGTGAGTTGTAGGGAGAGTGCAGTTCATCACTTGGTGTGAGTTCGAAGTGGTAGCTTGAAGGGACACAGCCCCAGTTGCTGACCTTGATGCCCAGAAAGGTCAACATCAGTCTGGTAAAAGGGGAAACTGGTTTCATTGGAGTGTCTGTCCGTCTGCACATAGGGCGCCATCTCCTTTTGTGGGAAAAAACAACCTTCCCAGCCACTGACATAGCACAGCTTCGCTTTTCGCAACGCCCTGGGCAAAAGGGCGAACAGGTGAGCTGAGACTGAGGAACCAAGCTCGTATCACCCAGTAGCACATCTTGAAGACCGAGGTCCGCGGATTTGGGAAAAGCCTAGGTCCTCCAGTAGAGAGCTTAGAAGGGTACCAACTTTTTCCTGTAGTTTATTTTAGTAGGGGAACCCTCCCCCAAAAAAGAAACGGTAAAAGAGCACTACTGCGGGACCAGAAGCGGCACCTTTTTCTTGGTGGGTTGATTGCCAAGAGTTCTCATCCGCAAAGGAAGCAGCACATCTGAAGGGAATTCCGCCCGTTCCAATCCCTACGGCGATTAGGGAACTATTTCGGCGGCTTGCGACGAGGCGGCAAGGCGGCTCCTTCTTTGGCTCCTCAGTGGTCACCTCCACTTTCGCCGTGACTTTTACCTGACATGTTCCATGGTCGAAAAATTAGGGACCCAACAAATGGGCTTTGGGGGGTGGGGGGATTGATCCAGGTGGTTTCCCTTCTCACCGGCCACCTCAGAAAGGGTCCAAAGAGCCCGCAGCCACATTACCTTGGCCAGACTGCAACAAAGTATGGAAGCTCCCAGAAGGCCTCTGTAAATGGAACCAAGTCTTCCAAGGGGTCCTGCGAGCTTCCATGGAAAACAGCCACTCCACATGAACGAGCCAGGTCTTCCTTCAGGTCGGGGCCAGCAAACCAGGGCACTAAAAACCAAACGACAACAACAAAGCGGGCTTTGCAAGGACTTGAATTAGGGCTAGCAACTTCAAGTTGAAATATCATGATGCCTCCGCGCGTCTTCCTGTGAGTGAGCGAGCGAGTGTGTTTTTGTGGATGGGTTTGTGAGTGCGTGCGCGTGCGTATATCCAGCCATATATAGATATATATATATATATATATCCTCTATTCCGATCACTGGTGATATGTTAGATGTGCACATCCCAGCAGGCAGGCAGAACTCGGCAAGACTTCGACCGACGCCGGCGGTCTCCGGGGAAAAGGAGGGAAGCCCGGGGCGAACACACACTGGGTTCATGTTGGCCTTCCTCCCACAAACTCACTTCCGATCGAGTGGATTGGCCCAAAAAAAATCTGAAATGTTGACTTGCCACGAAAATGATCTTCCACAAAAGTTATCAAGTCCAAGAACTGAGGAAGTGAGAAAACAGAAGGCACCTATGGGAGGGTACCTGGAAAATGAGAAAACACACATTGTCTTGAAGGACGCCCCTGGTCAGGTGGTATGTTCGTGGACGGGAGGGTAAAACATCCTCGACACAAAAGGCGGTGGTACTGGGAACCAGGCCAAGGGCAGAAAGGAAACGGAGCAATGATGGGGAGGCAATCCAAAGCTCCTTATTCAGCGCTGGGCCCCCCCGGCCCCCCCATGAAACACAAAGGGAAGGAAGGTTCCTCAAAGCATGAATTCCATGTTCGTGTTCCTCACATCTTGTCTCCAGCTAAAACCCGTGGGATCGGAGGCTAGGTTTTTTAAGTAGAGAGCTTAGAATAAGGGTACCCACTTTTTTTTCCTGTAGTTTATTTTAGTCGGGGGAACCCTCCCCCAAAAAAGAAACGGTAAAAGGGCACTACTAGGGGACCTAGGAGGTGTTTGGGTTCGTCCACGGGGAGCCTGGCCGCCGCGACAAGCGCGAGATGTCGGGAGGCCGCCTCAGGCTCCTTTGGCTTTGGCGCCGGGGCCTCTCCAAACGTGACGGCGCGTTCGGTTTGAGAACTTCTTGAGGGACAAGTCTGGTTCAGCGAGATTTTGGGTCCCCAAGGGTAGTGCGGAATGTCACGGGATACCCAAACCGGCGCCATGGTCCGGCAGAGGGGCAACTTCAAGTCCACGTTTGGCGCCAAGAAAGTGACTAACTTTGAGTGGGTTGGATGGAAACTACCACGAAACACTAAAAGGATCTAAAAAGCTAAACCGGATGGCCTTCGGGAGCCACCAAGATAACAGGCGATGGCCTTGGGCGAACCCAAAACGGTCAGATCAGGTCCGTTGGCTCCGGACCAGTGAGCGTTGGGGGCTCAAGGAATTGTTGTTTTCTTTTTCTCAAACTGATAAAACTGCACATCGCCACTGGTTGTTTTCCCTTTGGACCGGTTGGTTGTTTTTTCCCCTTTGGACACAAAAGCGCCCCCAAAATGATTGGTTATCTTTTGGCTATCGTTTGGGTACCAAGTAAAGGGGGCGCCATTTTGCGGAAACTAGCAAACATATGTCTGCACTCAACGAAGCTACAATTGGACAGGACCCCCCAAAACAGAACTGTGTATCATGGGAGGCTGTTTTTTCCGACATGCATTTTTTCAGATTTGTGTCTTCTCGGTATTTTGTTTATCCCGCTGTTTGTTGGACAGAATGGTTTCTCTACAAGTCAGCTTGCGGAAAGCTTTACACGAGTTTCAGTAAGCAGCCTTCCCGTGGCTATGAGATCATCAATAAGAAGCACCCACAAATCATACGCGGTCGCTACGCAGATTCCCGTGCATGGCTTAGAATTGGGCAAAGCAAGAGGATTCTCCAAAAGGAGGCGCCCACGCAAGGTAGTATAATTAATCTCCCTTGGCCAGCTAGGCTCGATCTTCGTAACGAGAGCCACACACCTTTCGGGGCTGAGACTAAGGATGCTTCGGAGGTGCCCAAACACCCAACGAGTTGGACCCCCAAAGGAAAACAACACTTGTCCATCTTCCCATGGAACCTATGAATCTCCCGAAGGGTAAGAGAACTGAATAAATGCCAAGTTCGAACCAAGGTCATGAGAAATCATGAGAAGCGAACGTTTTCATCCGCCACTTCGGCTTCACCTTTGAAAGGCATGGAAACGGCACAGGGTAGATGGATGTGCCTTGTTGTGTTCTGAATGACCGTTGCTCGCGTGAGACATTCTTCAACATGACGTGTTTCCCCTTGAAGGACATGATGCCGCCAAATGCTAAACACACCTCGCATGACACGTTTGAAAATAAGCCAAAGAAACGCCCAAAGGGGAACTGAAAGGGTCCAGGGCCGTTTAAGACGTGAAGCCCAAGGAATATCCCCGGAACTTCCCCGGAACCTGCCCGGAGACCACTGCCCCAAAACCATTGGCCAACGCCCCATAGACTCTTGATGTTAAACCCAAGGAACATGACGAGTCCCTTGAAGCGGTGACATCCGCGGAGCCCTGCCTGCGGCAACGGCTCCGGGGGTGTCGGCGCCGGCGCCGGCGCCGGCGCGGGCGTCGTCGGCGCGGGCGTTGTGGGCGCGGGCGTCGTGGGCGCGGGCGTCGTGGGCGCGGGCGTCGGCGCTGCCGTCGGAGCCGGCGGCAATGGCCTCGAGTGCCGGTGGCGCTGAAGTTTACCCGGCAGTTATGACCTCCTTGGAGCTCCAAACCCCTCCAAACCCTGCAGGGCCCGGAAAAAAAAAAAAAAAAAAACGAGATCTTTTGAAGGAAGCAAGCAGCCAGCGCAGGTCGGTTTCCAACTTGGCATTTTTGGGGCAATCCCGTTTGGCTGTCTGGAATCACCACCTTCTGGTTGGTGACTTTCCTGACGTGGGGTGATTTTCAAGTTGGAAATGTAAGTGACCCATCGTTTTGGATGCCAAGCCAAAGGGGCGACTCCCCAACCTGTTGATTTCCCCTGCTCATTCCAACCGGGGCTCTTTTCAATCTCCCCCAAACCTCTGACCCAAGGAAGGGCCTTGTTACAGCCTAACCAGGCACTGAGCTCCGGTCGGCAGCGGCATCAGCGGCAGCGGCACCACCGGCGGTGGTGCAAAGCCCAGAGTGGTCGTCGGTGCGCGAGTGGTCGCTGGTGTCGTGGTGATCCTGCTGGGCTGCCCGTTTTCAGATCCCCCGCGAAAAGTGACTAACTTTGAGTGGGTTAAATGGAAACTACCACTATGCACTAAAAGGATCTATAAAGCTGGCTGGGAGCCACCAAGTCTGGTATTTTCCACCGGGAAAGACGCGGGGACGATCCTTTCCCGCGAGGGGACAACAGGTGTGAAGGGCCGGTGTGTCTCTTTTTAGGGGGCAGCCCAAATGGTGGTTTTCTTTTCGGCTTGCGTTGAAAGCCACCCAAAAACAGGGGCAACAGGAAGGGCTCTCCACATGGATTCGTCTCAAAATAAGGACCCCCCCCCAGAAACAGTTGGCTTCCTCTTGGTTTCCCCTAAACAACCAACCAAAAGGGGGTTCCTCGATTTTGGGGCAATGTGGAACGCATTTGTTTCCGTGCATTGACATCTCCTGCTTGTCGTGCTCTTCGTCGTGAGCCAACCCTCGGACGGGGCCATCACATAGCCCTGGCGTCCAAAAAGCCCAAGGATTTCGGACCAAACATGCGCGCAGGAGGCAAAGCTTAGAATCCCCAAAAGAGACATTTGGGACTCTCTGCGTCGGTGATTGACCCCAAAACGTTCCAGTCTTTGCTTAGGACAGCTGCCATTTTCCAAACTAGGCCCTCCAGTAGAGAGGGCGGAATAAGATTACTCTTTTCTCTGTAGTCTATTTTAGTTGGGGAACCCTCCCCAAAAGAAGGGGTAAAAGGGCACTATTGGGGGACCTAGCAAAAGTTAATCCTCTTCACCCCTATGACTTGGATATTGGAGACTTGCGCCGCCGAGTTCTTGAAACCAAATGGGCAGGCAAGGTCAAAGGTTGTACACAAAGCATCGAATGACATTCAACGCCCGCTTTTGTCCGGGCATAGGTCGAGCCCTGTTGAAATTTCGTCTGGGGCATTGACATACCCTAAGACTCACTTCCCGAGTGGATTGCCCGGAACTAAGTCGCCACACTTCTTGCTTCCCAAGATGATCCGGAAATCCAAAAGTTCCAAGCCCATGGACATCTACTAAATCTTTGCCAGGACTGGGCTGCCCTCAGATCCCCCGCTACAAGTGACTAACTTTTAGTGGGTCAAATGGAAACTACCACTAAACACTAAAAGGATCTAAAAAGCTAAACCGGATGGCTGGGAGCCAAGAGGAACATGATCCGAAACATTGGAAACTACAAAAGTGTCTTTTCTTGGCCACTTCCCCTTGGTTGACGTTGAAGGGGAGCAACAAATGACATTTTAGCAGATTTTTGTGGATTTGGATTTCAACCACTAAACCACCATAAGCTAAACATGTGTCCAATGTTTCCCAACAACCACCATGTCCCTGTCACCCAACGTCTTTTTCGGACGTGACCCAACGACCGACGTTCGAACGGCGGGCCTCAACCACTGGCTTGAAGTCACCCGGGGACTCCTCTGCCTGCGATCCCACGAAGGCGCACGGCTGGGCCCGGCTTTTACATACTGGACCCCCAAGACGTGGGGGGTTTAAAGGGAAGACCCCAGAAAAGAAAGAAACAAAAAAAACAAAGGGCGAGAAGGCAAAGCAATGATTTTTGCTTCTTCTTCTCTTTGTTTTTTTTTTGGGGGGGGAAATTGGGCAGTCTAAAGCCCTTGTTCAACCAGGTTTTGATGTCTAGCTAACATCGCACCTGACACGGACAAGGCCAAAAGTAAATAGATCTTCCAGGGAACCCCCCGCCCAAATGTTAGTGGGAGGAAGGCTACAACTTTCACCATGGTTGAAACCAAACCTAACTCAGCTTTACCCGCGCAACTAGACATGACAAATGCTATTCCACAACTGGCCCCATTATTCTGATCAAAGTCACCCCTGAAGCGCTAGGTTAAAGGGAACCAACCAACCAGCCTCTGACTATGATATTCCAGAAACAATCAAAAGCATTACTCCTGCACAAATCTGCACATGTTACTGTAATTCCAAACGCTGCATTCAAGGATCCCCAAGTAAAGGACCTGTATCATGGCTTTCGCTCGTTATACCCCCGGATCGGTGAGCTCTCTGTAAAATAGGCAGTCAAATGCAGAATGCTCTGGATGGACGAAATTCTGCACCTAAGAAACCATGGGGCACCAGTGTTTGTTGGTATTTGCATCCTTATTCCAAGGTCTTCTTCGGTGGTGCGAAATGGATTTCGCACCCCAATCGTGATCGGAGGCTTCCTGCGGTCCGAGATCGCCTTTCCCCCTGAAGGAATCTCCATGACATCGAAAGGGCGGGTTCAGCCAGGAAAAAGGACCTTCACCATGTCCCCACTCAGAACTCCCAACAACTCAGCTTTGGAAGGCTCCCTCTTAAGCAAGTTTGGATCATTTCAGCTCCAAGTCCGGCTCGCTTTCATTCACCAGCTAGTTCAAATAAGGACTCTTGCCAAAGAGTGGCGGCGCCTTTGCGAAGACCAAGCTCAACTCACGAAAAGCACAGCCGGACGCGTGGCTTCAAGATGATGCCTGAGAAAAACTTGAGCGACCTCGCTAAACTGAGCATCCGGATCCAAGTGCCCAACGACAAAACCTCGCACTTAATGATGACGCAAAACTATCTAAAAAAATGTGTGGGGATAGAACGCCAGATCTATCCCCACCGATTGGGAAACATGTGCCCTCACTTCCACACATGCTTTCATGGGGGTATGGAAGGGGGGGCTGTAAAGATTCTCTCTCCATTGGGGGTGCGCCCTTCCCTGGCGTGCATCTGCAAAGCTTGTGATTCCGGAACCTGACATCAGGGATTCCCGAAAAAGGGGGCTTCGTTGTGAGCTTTACCTCCAGGTTAGCTCGCCAACATCGGGCGGGCTCCAAACTGTCTCGGGGGCCCGCAAGGCTGAGTCCACTAAGGTGACCTCCTCAAAACCCTCTGGGTGGAATCGAAATCTTATTTTTAGGTGCTCCCCTTTCAACTTGCCCATGCCAGAAACCCATCTAATTATGAGGTTCAATAGGGACATTCTCTGCAAAGTTGTTCGACAGTAATCCCCTCATCCTGTCCAGTTTAGGCCCTGTGGCCCTTTGACCCATTCAAGTTCACATGTCCGATAGATACTTTGGGCCATTGGGATTTGTGTCCACCTCCGAACTTCAAGGAGTGTGAATTATCCTTTACTTCCATTTTCTTAAGCTCCCCAGAATAACAAAATATAGTTCCAGTAGTGCATTTGAAAAAAAAGGTGGGACAACTCTAAAAACATCTTTCAGCAAATGGAAGATTGCAAGGTACGTCGCCCCTTTTTCAGCCGCATGCCTGGCAGATCCGGGGGCACTTGTTGAGGCCGCGCCTTGTGACGACTGCGCATATCCAACCGATAGGTACAGTTCGCCCACACTTGGGTGTCTCAAATTCGGGGGAGCCTCTCTAGAAAACGGTCTGGATGTGGCTTTTGTGAATCCATTTCTGTAGGATACAGGTGAAATCCACAAAAAAAAAAAACGTTTTCTTTTTCCTCTTTTTACAGGAAAGACACCTTGACATTCCTTTTGGTTTCCCTTTCAACCAACCCCAAAAGGGTACCATCAAACAGGGACATTTGAAGATTTCCAGGAGTTGGGCAGGGCTGTCTCGGGGCCAACATTTTTCACACCCCGCCGCACATAAATGAAGCTTGCCGCTGTTCTTGTTGACATCTTGGGCATTTTTGCAGCGACTCAAGTGGGTTTCCCCAAATTGGTGGTTTATTTTGGTTTTCCTTGAGCCCCCCCCCCCAAAACCGGTGACCCCCCCAAAAAAAAGGACAGATCCACATGTCGGTCCCACAACACTCAACACCCCAGCTAAAAAGCTAATCTTTTTGGCAGGAATCCAAATCCACCAAGGGCACTTACTCATTTTTGATGCAAACTTCCAACTCCAAATGGCCTTCCTTCTTACTGCGTGTCCCTGCTCGTTTTGTGGGGGGAATCAGGGATTCCTCTATGGGCTGGAGTCATCTGAAGTCCAGCCTTCGCAGAGTGGTTCAATCGGCCCTGGCCCAATGACTGTTTCAGGTAGGTGACCTTTCCTGGGTTGACGACTGGGAAAGTCAAACGCTAAAAGCTAATGGGTGAACCAACACGGGAAAATAACAGATATCTTAAGCAAACGGAAGGCAATAATTAGGGGTTCAAATCCCCAGTTCTCACCAACCCAAACCAGCAAGAGCTTGTCTGATACAAGGAGCACACCATGGCACACCACATTTTTGCCTCTGAACCGGGAACCACGTCTCGGTTTCTTCCCGAACGTCTCCACGCCGAAGCGTTCAAAAGCCCGAGGCGAGCGCATGTAGAGGGCATGTGCCACATCACGCGCGGAGGAGGAGGACGACAGCTCTGGATACCATTCGGGATGCTGGACCTTAGGGTTGGCCATGGGCCATGGGCGCAGGAAATCCCAAGTCATTGGCCGCGGGAAGATCAAACATCCAGCTGCCCCCTCCCACCCCCCCCCCCAAACAGTAAGGGGGGTGGGTGAGGAGGACTCTTGCCTTTTGTGGAACCTCCCTGTTCAGTTTCCGCACTATTGCAGTCAGAAGCCAGTCACAGAACGCTTGGAAAGGGATGCCCAAATCCCTTCATAGACTTCGCCCTTGCCGGCATCTGTGAAGCATTGATTGCACAGGTGGTCTAAAAGTAGCTTGTAGAAAAGCAGTGGTTCCTACTTGCCCGAGCGGCCTGCAAGCTGAGTACTGAATAAACATGAGCGTTCAAGCTGCAAAAACAGCGGCCTTCCTCGAAGTCTGCCCTCAGATCCCCAAGGTCCTCTGTGCGTTTGTCCTATGACCTCCTTTTGAAACTGACACCCGGGCAAAATCACGCCCAGCTGATCTGATCTGGGGGCTCCGCCATGCCCGTGTGCATGGCCCAGCTCACGTCCTGCATGCCTGGCCGATCGGTGGATCGGTGCCGATCGGTGGCCACTGCAAGCGATCGGCCGGGAGGTCACGGCCGATTCATGGCCCCCCCCCCCCCGGCTTTGCCGTGACAAAGTGAGAGGTATCATGCAAAGTGATTCCTTCCAAACTTGTCAAGCTCGGCATGCTCTTAGCCCCGACTTTGACCTCATGTTTACAACTGCTAAACCTGAAAGGAGGAATCCACAACAGGGAAAGGACCTATGTAAGCTCGTTTTACCCCCCCTACGGGTGCTGAACAACTGGGATAACCACAAAGCCTGGAAACGGTTTTGGGCTGGAAACGGGGCAAGGAGTTCATTTGAGTTTGGGTGGAACTCCAATCTGCTTGCAAACCCGGAAATTCTAGGAATTCTCAAACAATCAAAGCACCTTCCTTGTTGATAACCTCGTTTTGCCCTAAAAAGCACGTGATCATTTGGCGAGTCAACTCGTGTTCGCCGAGCTGTGAGGGTTCATAAGCTTCAGAATCAACAGCGTGAATTGGATATGGATGTCTGGGAGCCTATCGTGAGGCTCGGGATTTCTTTGGAGGAACCAGTGAAGTAAAAAAGAAGAAGCCTAAACTAAGTCGAAAGGGGGTGGAGGACTTGAAACCCAATGAAGCTATTTTCGCCCAGCCATGACGTATTGTGACTGCAGACATCTTTTCAAGATGGAAGATCTTGGCGCTTTCAAGGGTTGCAGGGTTCCGGTTGCAAGCCATTTCCCGAGCTGACGCCAAACAAAGCTGCTGACACATTTACACGCTATCCGAGCATCGCTTGAAAGGGGACTGCGCCTTATCGCAGAAGGCGGCGACCCAAAACCAACATACATTTCTTCAGGTGTGGGTGTTCTTTGGGGAATTATTTTCGTGGCTTTTGATTGGGGACTTACAAAGGAAGCCTTTTTCCGGGCCCGATTTTGCCGCAAGTTGTGAGGCTGCCCTTGCTTGGTGGCTTGAATTGGTGGTGTAACGACACCTCCACACCAGCGCTTCCGCTTGTCTCAAGCGACACCTTCCAATTTTGCCGGGTTTGCCGTTGGTTTCCTTCCACCGACACTCCAATTTTTGGGTCGCTCCGCCCAAGCAAAAACTCGGGGGGCACCTTTTTGTGGGTGCAGAAAAAGCTGAATGTGGGTGCGTATTTTTTCTTTTTTTTGAGGGTGCCCCCTTTTTTGATGGTAGGGCACCAACAAAAGAAAGCCGGGTCCGCTTCCCAAGAAAAAGACGAGGAGCCACCCATTTCTCGCGCCCCGGCTGGTGCCTGGGTAGGATTGGTCGAATGCCACACAGGGCTCCTCCTCGGGCAAAAATCGATTCCGATGCTCTGTGACGCTCCGCGAAGACGCAGGAAGCTTGAGTGAACACACCACCCATTTTCAGGGGTGTATACAAACTCTGGTGCCCTAAAAATCAGATCTGTTGTTTTTGAAGGATACGGGATACATCCTACATGTTTGCATCAAACCTTGGTCTTGGAAACAGGCTTTCTTCGTACATCCTGCTGTACCAGGATGTGGATGCTTTGAATCAACTGCTAAAGGTGATTTGTTGACTGTGCCAAATGTATCCACCCCATTTTCTTATCGTTATTCATTTCCATAACAATCCTTTTTACGGTAGATGGCGCTGAGAGTTGACTTTTGCTCATCTGGCGCTGCAGGGTAAGTCGGTAAGGAAATTCTTGTCTGGCATCTGCGAATATGGCTTGTGGCTGGGTGCTTCTTTCTTGGCCAACGAGCAAACCTAAAGGTAAGATGTAAAACCTTTTCTTAGCATCATTTTCGCCAAGCAAGGGCATTGGCAATGTCATTAAGATGTTTCGGCATGCTAACCCCGATGTGCAAGTGAATTGTCTCAAAATAGGGGAACCCAATCTCTCTCTCGCTCTCTCTGTAGTGCTATCGTGCTATCCTGCAGATCACTTTCTGGAAAGCCAAACAAGGTTTGTCCTTTACTTCCCCCTTTCCAGCCAACAATGCCGTCCACAAAAGATCAGAACAACCGGCCCACGTGATCCTTAAATAGATCCCAGCCTTTTGAGCAACCGCTTTTGGAGTTACCATGTTGATCTGGGGAGGTGAAGAAGTCAACACACAGTGTTTGCCTAAACTAAAAACTCCTTATATAAGCTGCTGGCATATGCAGGAAGCCCACCAAGTCAGGTTGTTCTTCCCTTAGCTTTTGGGCTATTGCTGTTGCAGCCCCCCCCCCTCCCGGCAGCGCCACTAAGAATGAGTATGACCATCAACCAACAAACACTGCAGCGCTTGCCCCAAATCCGTTGTCTGGATTTGCGCTCCGGTTGAAAGGGTGTCGTCTCATTTGGCCTCAGGCTTCAACTCCCCACACCTGCATTCAAAACAGGGAAATCCTCCAGCAAAGCCAAGGGGCCAGCTGCCGAAACAAAGGAAGCCAAGAGAAACATGGTGGAGACGACCCAAAACCAGCTGCTGTCCAAGGCAACTCTCGAAATCAGCTGGTGGTTGGGTAGCCCCAGCTGGCATGCAGGGCATTCTGACACCCTGACACACGTGCAGATGCCCGAATGCTCGGCACTTCAGCCAGGGAGCGTGTGGAAGGCAAGGCCGTGGGCACTCGTACATGGCGGCGTTGTAGAAGTAAGCCTGGAAACAAACCAAGGCTAGAATAAGGGTACCGTTTCCTTTTTCTGTAGTCTATTTTAGTAGGGGGTTTCCTCCCAACCCAAAAATGGGGAGGGACGGGACCTGGAAGGGTTTTTTGCCTGGCTTGGCTGAAGCATCGCCATTTGGGCCAATTTCGAGTGAGGTGGGAGCCTTGCTGGGTTGAGATGAGCCCACAATTCTAAGCTACAAGGTGATGCCCAGTCGCCAGGGACCCGGCTAGGGCACCAGGGCACCAGGGCACAGAACCCCCCGAAACAACCGGAAAGCCCACCGGCCTTGGACAAACCTCTTTTGGCACCAGTGGCGCACAAAAATATCTCCAAATGCAAGCAGCTTTTAGCGTATCTGGTGTTGATTTGACACATGAAAAACAGCATGCAACTGGCAAAACTCCCCAGACAACAATACATACATAGGAAAGACGGGCACCCTTTGGTACTTGAAGGGCACCCCTCTTAGAATGAAGCGACGTCCCCAATGGTCGCCGTTGACCCCCTCTGAAAACATAGTTCAACCTGTTGTGGGTCCAGTTCGGAAAAAAAAAGAGGAAAAACCACAACAATGAATTAAAACATAGTTCAACCTGTTGTGGGTCCAGTTCGGAGAAAAAAAAAGAGGAAACACCACAACAATGAATTAAAACATAGTTCAACCTGTTGTGGGTCCAGTTCGGAGAAAAAAAAAGAGGAAAAACCACAACAATGAATTAAAACATAGTTCAACCTGTTGTGGGTCCAGTTCGGAGAAAAAAAAAAGAGGAAAAACCACAACAATGAATTAAAACATAGTTCAACCTGTTGTGGGTCCAGTTCGGAGAAAAAAAGAGGAAAAACCACAACAATGAATTAAAACATAGTTCAACCTGTTGTGGGTCCAGTTCGGAGAAAAAAAAGAGGAAAACCACAACAATGAATTAAAACATAGTTCAACCTGTTGTGGGTCCAGTTCGGAGAAAAAAAAAGAGGAAAAACCACAACAATGAATTAAAACATAGTTCAACCTGTTGTGGGTCCAGTTCGGAGAAAAAAAAAGAGGAAAAACCACAACAATGAATTAAAACATAGTTCAACCTGTTGTGGGTCCAGTTCGGAGAAAAAAAAGAGGAAAAACCACAACAATGAATTAAAACATAGTTCAACCTGTTGTGGGTCCAGTTCGGAGAAAAAAAGAGAGGAAAAACCACAACAATCATTAAAACATAGTTCAACCTGTTGTGGGTCCAGTTCGGAGAAAAAAAAGAGGAAACACCACAACAATGAATTAAAACATAGTTCAACCTGTTGTGGGTCCAGTTCGGAGAAAAAAAAGAGGAAAACCACAACAATGAATTAAAACATAGTTCAACCTGTTGTGGGTCCAGTTCGGAGAAAAAAAAAGAGGAAACACCACAACAATGAATTAAAACATAGTTCAACCTGTTGTGGGTCCAGTTCGGAGAAAAACAAAGAGGAAAAACCACAACAATGAATTAAAACATAGTTCAACCTGTTGTGGGTCCAGTTCGGAGAAAAAAAAGAGAGGAAAAACCACAACAATGAATTAAAACATAGTTCAACCTGTTGTGGGTCCAGTTCGGAGAAAAAAAAAGGAGGAAAAACCACAACAATGAACTAAAACATAGTTCAACCTGTTGTGGGTCCAGTTCGGAGAAAAAAAAGAGGAAAAACCACAACAATGAATTAAAACATAGTTCAACCTGTTGTGGGTCCAGTTCGGAGAAAAAAAAGAGGAAAAACCACAACAATGAATTAAAACATAGTTCAACCTGTTGTGGGTCCAGTTCGGAGAAAAAAAAAGAGGAAAAACCACAACAATGAATTAAAACATAGTTCAACCTGTTGTGGGTCCAGTTCGGAGAAAAAAAAGAGGAAAAAACACAACAATGAATTAAAACATAGTTCAACCTGTTGTGGGTCCAGTTCGGAGAAAAAAAAGAGAGGAAAAACCACAACAATGAATTAAAACATAGTTCAACCTGTTGTGGGTCCAGTTCGGAGAAAAAAAAAGAGGAAAAACCACAACAATGAATTAAAACATAGTTCAACCTGTTGTGGGTCCAGTTCGGAGAAAAAATTAAAGGACCGGATAACCCCACATGCTATGTTTTTCCCAAATGTCCACACACATGTACCGTGCGCCCCTTGTATGGATGCGATTACAGAGCACCCAGATGCACAGAATGCAGCGCCTGCCACGACTTCGGCAACGGCATCGCCAAAGTGCTGCGCCTGCCACGATTTCGCAACGGCATCGCCAAAGTGCTGCGCCTGCCACGATTTCGCACACCCCCCGCCGCGCGCGCGACAACATCCTGTCCCTCTAGACAGCTGCCGAATGCGACCCCTGCCACACAAACACACACCCAGATGCACAGAATGCTGCGCCTGCCACGACTTCGGCAACGGCATCGCCAAAGTGCTGCGCCTGCCACGATTTCGCAACGGCATCGCCAAAGTGCTGCGCCTGCCACGATTTCGCACGCCCCCCGCCGCGCGCGCGACAACATCCTGTCCCTCTAGACAGCTGCCGAATGCGACCCCTGCCACACAAACACACACCCAGATGCACAGAATGCTGCGCCTGCCACGACTTCGGCAACGGCATCGCCAAAGTGCTGCGCCTGCCACGATTTCGCAACGGCATCGCCAAAGTGCTGCGCCTGCCACGATTTCGCACACCCCCCGCCGCGCGCGCGACAACATCCTGTCCCGCTAGACAGCTGCCGAATGCGACCCCTGCCACACAAACACACACCCAGATGCACAGAATGCTGCGCCTGCCACGACTTCGGCAACGGCATCGCCAAAGTGCTGCGCCTGCCACGATTTCGCAACGGCATCGCCAAAGTGCTGCGCCTGCCACGATTTCGCACACCCCCCGCCGCGCGCGCGACAACATCCTGTCCCTCTAGACAGCTGCCGAATGCGACCCCTGCCACACAAACACACACCCAGATGCACAGAATGCTGCGCCTGCGGCACGCCAAAGTGCTGCGCCTGCCACGATTTCGCAACGGCATCGCCAAAGTGCTGCGCCTGCCACGATTTCGCACGCCCCCCGCCGCGCGCGCGACAACATCCTGTCCCTCTAGACAGCTGCCGAATGCGACCCCTGCCACACAAACACACACCCAGATGCACAGAATGCTGCGCCTGCCACGACTTCGGCAACGGCATCGCCAAAGTGCTGCGCCTGCCACGATTTCGCAACGGCATCGCCAAAGTGCTGCGCCTGCCACGATTTCGCACGCCCCCCGCCGCGCGCGCGACAACATCCTGTCCCTCTAGACAGCTGCCGAATGCGACCCCTGCCACACAAACACACACCCAGATGCACAGAATGCTGCGCCTGCCACGACTTCGGCAACGGCATCGCCAAAGTGCTGCGCCTGCCACGATTTCGCAACGGCATCGCCAAAGTGCTGCGCCTGCCACGATTTCGCACGCCCCCCGCCGCGCGCGCGACAACATCCTGTCCCTCTAGACAGCTGCCGAATGCGACCCCTGCCACACAAACACACACCCAGATGCACAGAATGCTGCGCCTGCCACGACTTCGGCAACGGCATCGCCAAAGTGCTGCGCCTGCCACGATTTCGCAACGGCATCGCCAAAGTGCTGCGCCTGCCACGATTTCGCACACCCCCCGCCGCGCGCGCGACAACATCCTGTCCCTCTAGACAGCTGCCGAATGCGACCCCTGCCACACAAACACACACCCAGATGCACAGAATGCTGCGCCTGCCACGACTTCGGCAACGGCATCGCCAAAGTGCTGCGCCTGCCACGATTTCGCAACGGCATCGCCAAAGTGCTGCGCCTGCCACGATTTCGCACGCCCCCCGCCGCGCGCGCGACAACATCCTGTCCCTCTAGACAGCTGCCGAATGCGACCCCTGCCACACAAACACACACCCAGATGCACAGAATGCTGCGCCTGCCACGACTTCGGCAACGGCATCGCCAAAGTGCTGCGCCTGCCACGATTTCGCAACGGCATCGCCAAAGTGCTGCGCCTGCCACGATTTCGCACGCCCCCCGCCGCGCGCGCGACAACATCCTGTCCCTCTAGACAGCTGCCGAATGCGACCCCTGCCACACAAACACACACCCAGATGCACAGAATGCTGCGCCTGCCACGACTTCGGCAACGGCATCGCCAAAGTGCTGCGCCTGCCACGATTTCGCAACGGCATCGCCAAAGTGCTGCGCCTGCCACGATTTCGCACGCCCCCCGCCGCGCGCGCGACAACATCCTGTCCCTCTAGACAGCTGCCGTGAGTCAGCGAGTGTGAGTGAGTGAGTGAGCGAGTGAGTGAGTGAGTGAGTGAGATGAGAGTGAGTGAATGAGAGTGAGTGTGAGTGAGTGAGTGTGAGTGAGCGTGAGTGAGTGAGTGAGTTTGAGTGAGTGTGAGTGAGTGAGTGTGAGTGAGTGTGAGTGACTGAGTGTGAGTGAGTGAGTGTGAGTGAGTGTGAGTGAGTGTGAGTGACTGAGTGTGAGTGAGTGAGTGTGAGTGAGTGTGAGTTGAGTGAGTGTAAGTGAGTGAGTGAGTGAGTGAGTGAGTGAGTGAGTGAGTGAGTGAGTGAGTGAGACGGAGACGAGCGGGAGAAGGAGGAGGAGACGCGGCGCGCGGACGACGAGCGGAAAAAGTAAGAACCCCACACAAAGATGTGGGGAAAAAGAGGAAAAACCACAACAATGAATTAAAACATAGTTCAACCTGTTGTGGGTCCAGTTCGGAGAAAAAAAAAGAGGAAAAACCACAACAATGAATTAAAACATAGTTCAACCTGTTGTGGGTCCAGTTCGGAGAAAAAATAAGAGGAAAAACCACAACAATGAATTAAAACATAGTTCAACCTGTTGTGGGTCCAGTTCGGAGAAAAAAAAGAGAGGAAAAACCACAACAATGAATTCAAGCAAGCTTCAGTCCAAAGATCCGGCAGCGCAATAAAGAAAGGGGCACCAAATTGCGCTTCTCCAGGCGATATGACTCACTAGGTCTGATACCTGGACAAGAGAGCCTCATGACTCCCAGGCTCCATCTCCGCGACTTTACACGGGGATTTCCTTGGCTCACAAAAAGTGGCAAACCCCGAACCCGACAATGCCCGTCGGGGTGGCCTCATCGAAGCCGCTGGACTTCCAGCTATCGAAGATTTTTGTACAGGTACCCATGGCAAAACGTGAGCAGCCGAAGGTTTTCCGCGCGAGACATGGAAATGAGCCATAAACCTCCATGAGACCCCGTGCGAGATCACTTTCCTGAAGGAACCCCCCCCCTTCTGGCTCCATGTTAGATGTTGGTAAGGTACCTGTTCCCCTTCGGTTTGGCCGCCAAACTTGACAAGACAACCCACCACACAGGGAATTCGAAAAAAGGCCAATGGATCACTTTGGTTGAATTTCCATTTGTTTCACCCATCCTGCTTCTCAAACAGACACCAACCTCCCAAAGCTTTGGGCAGGTATGAACAAAGGGATGGAGAAAAGGAAATGGCCAAGTGCAGCTCGACATGGTTGCTTGGCTTTGGGACATCGAAGCGCGCAAGGACCACAATGGAACTCTAGGGGTGAACTCCCTCGTCCGATTCGACTTTTAAGGACTCTGGTCGGCTTTCCTCACGGCTTCCCGTTAAGGCGCCCATTTTTCAGGTACCCCTAAGTTGAGCATCGGCGGCTTGCATTGGTTGTGGGGTTTGATCCTGCTTAGGCCAACCGGGGAAGGTAGCCCGACGTGCCTGGAACTCCGAGTAGGTCGAGTGCACCGTCAAGCCCACGAATTGATCTGGGTGCAGGGCCTTGGATGCCGATGGTTTGGAGCCCTGTGGTTGCGGTGGTGGGGTGGTTTCCCATGTATCCTAGGCCAGCGGCTCAAATCCCCAAACGAATCCAAACCAACTAAGGGTTACCTGAAACAATGACCTCATGCTTGTGATACCTAAGTGGTTGACTCTCATACTGTATTTTGTACTTTCACAGGTTTTGTGGCAACCATGTGGGACTGTAATGGACCCCATTTGGTTGCAAAAGGGAAGCAACAAAAAACCAACCATCTCAGGGGACTGATTTTGAGCTTTCTATTTTGAGCAACCCCGATGATGGAACAGGAATTGAAACTGGTGAAGATCATGTCAGTAAACGAAGAGTTCGGACTTTTGCGATCAATCCCCTCAAGGACACACGTAACTCCAGCACCTGTTGATCAAAGTCCTGCTCAAGTGAGGTTTGGGAAAACTTCTGGGTCGCTGGCAAGGGACCTAGCTGGCGGCTTGGCCGGTTGGTTTTGTCCAATTCAGTCAGGTCAAATGGTGTGAACCCCCTCAGTTCTTCGGCACCAAGGGAAAATTTTACGATGACTTCCAGTCGGTAAAAATCGTTTCCCCCCACCCCAAAAAAAACAACAACAACATGAGCTCAGGTGACATCTCCAACAGCATGTGGTGCCCTTTTTAGTGCTCGCATGTGCTCGCACCACCCCGCACCCCTCGCAGAACCTCGTGGAACCCTGGTGGAATCCTGGTGGAACCCTGGTGGAACTTACCTCAGGGCTGCCCAATGCTGCCCAGGACCACCCCGGAGCCTATGGGCTGAGACCCCAAAGCTTTCAGCTGTTGGGGAAAAAAGAAAAAAGAAAGAAGAAGACAGACACAAAAGGCCGCATGGGCATACACCCTTGTCCTGGCAGCTAGGCACCAACCTTCCAGTTTCATATCGGACCGGGTCACATGATCAGCGCATAAAAAGGTCCAGTCCGTGGGACAAAACAATTCTTCCTCTTTTTTTCTTTTGGGGGGGGGGAGTGTCAAGGGTATCTCCTTTGACGCGTTCATGAAACCGATGGAACCATGCGAGCTCCTTGAATGACTGACTGCTTTGCAATGGGCGAGGCATCCTCAAAGGACTGCCACGAAGTTGACATTGATTTCGATGCGGCTCGCTGGGTGCCCCGGCGAAGCCCTCCTGCATGGCGCCGACCACCTCCTTCCCACCTCGCCGCTCGGGGCTTGGGCCAAAGACTCAGAAGGACACCTACCCATTTTGGGGTTGCCCCCCGTTCAGGAAACATGAAAACAACTACACAAGGGAATGGGGCATGATGAGTTGTTTGATGTTTTCCTAGCAGCGTCCTGTGACTGGCGTCGCAACTGTGGCCCCAGCATGTGGTGGCTGGAGCCGCATTCTCGCACTTGTGCCTTGGATACCGCCGGGACATATTATGAAACCCACGATCTTTTTCATTCTCCTTCAATTGCTCCTTAGATCCCAACCCTTGCTAGAAGATTACAGGCCCCCCCCCCCCCCCCCCCCCCCGCCGGCATTTTTCTTTATATTAAATGACACCCCTGCAGCAAACAGAACAGTGAAGCCTCAGGGAATCAACCAGGGTTTTGGGAATGAAGGCGGGTGGGTGTCTCGTTCGAGGGAACCCTCGTGGCTTGCTTTCGAAGGGACGCCACTGGGTTGGGTGCACTCCTTTAGTCATGGCGCCGTGGAAACTTTTCGCGCGAAGTCGCCTTGCCGATTGAACCGGACTGGATGCGCTACTAGTAACTCGCTGTTTGGTGGGTTGGGACTCACCAAACACGGCATGCAAGCCATCCTTGCGAAGTTGGCAGGACACATCCTTTGATCAGCACACAGATTCTTGCGATCCAGCAAGCGGCATTTCTGCGAAAGCGGCCTCGTCGCCATGATTAATTGTGCGAAACACATCGCACATATGGTGCTTTGTAGCAATGTGTTGCTTTTTAGGCTAACAAAACCTGGGAAAAAGCGGGTCAGAACTAAACATTTTGTTTTGTTCATAATTTTTCCTCCGCAAAGACTGGTTCTGGCAGGAAAACGGTTTGTCGAATTTGGACGCAAACAAACGCGTAACAAAACCAAAGTATGTTTCTCTTCAAACACCGTAAACAAGAAAACAACACATATGCAACAACAACACTCTTGCAACAAAAACCGTTTTTTTCCTCATGGCTTGTGACAATGAGAAGAGATGCCGGTGGGTGAGTGTGGGGGTGCGAGGGTAACGGCGGGTGGGTGGGAAGGTGGGTGGGTGGTGTGGGTTGGGGAGGGTGCCCTGCAGCCAACTAGCGCACTAGGATAGAAAGGCGTGCGTGTGCACCATGTAACAAAACGCGTACAAACATATAAATATCAAGGTAAATATATGGCCACAAAATTTATTAAGGGGCCCTTTGGTGGACATCATTTAGGTGGGGATTCCAGTCCAGCAATAACTTTTCAGGTGGTTCCCTGTTCCAATTCATCGCCTATAATACGTTATGTGTGTATGCGTATGGCATACAGGCAGAACGCCTCCGAGGAGTACAGGGGCCTGACTCACCCGTGACATTTCCTCATCCCTCCAGACTTCAGGCGAGCAGCGAGGCATGCAGGGGCACCTGGCGGAGGCGAAGCGTCCACTCGCAAAAAACAAGAGGCAAACGCGTGCAAGAACATCTTGAGAACCATAGGTGTCCTTTTGGCAAAATAGATGGGTTCCCTGGTAAATGGAATGAAACTAATCTAAACCAGTGGATTCCATCTATTTCTAGGTAAACTAACCTAAAAAGGACGCCTATGTTTAGAACCGTTAAACATGTGGCAGCTAACACACACGGCCCCCTGCCCGTGCTCAGCTCAACCTGTCTTTACTTAGCGAGGTCGAGCAGGGTCCTAAAACTCAAGACTGTCGGCCTGGGTACGCAACATGGCATTGGCAGCGCCTCTTGTCTCAGCTCCGAAGCTGCCAACTGCCTGACACGACCTCGCCATTTTCCACCTAGGATTCGCCGCGGCTGGCACATAGGGCGCCGACGGGCCGGGCTGGTTGCATTAAATGGGGGAACCGCGAAGCTTTCAACTGGGGCGGCGATTCAAATCGCAGGGGGCTGGGAAAAACATCCGCCAGCCCCAATGCGGGCACCGGCCCCAGGCAGTCCAAACTTGCAGCGCAGGGTCTTTAAGACCCCGCTGCCTATGCAAGGAAACGCTTAAACGTTCGCGTAGCACGTGTTGTGCATCTTGCATTCTCGAATTGGCAAGCTTCCGACGGACTCGGGCACGTCGGCACAGCAGAGGCGTGGAATTTGGGAGATCTATTCTAGCGGTTTCAGTGCAAGGAGACGAAACGCATTTGTTTGGCCTATGCTGAGCCGACGAGGGTCTAGGCAAAGCATGGCAGAGCTAAACGCTCACGGGCGCCACCACCACCAGCAGCCACAGCAACTGCAGTAATCCACCAGCACAGGGCGGGTCGTCATAGAGCCATCATCAAAGATCTCCCCCACCAAGAAGCCTTGCCTTGAAACCGTTGGATCTGGTTTCCTATAAGCACATCGGAAACTTCAGGAATCCCCAACACCAAAACCCTCAGCTCGTCTGACCCCCCAAAAAGCGAGCTCCTTGGGCTGCAAAGTAACATCTTCCAGGGGCTCACTTCCTGGGTGGATTGTCCAAATCAAGTCCAAACCTCTTGTTTACTGAAATAATCTTCATCTCTACTCTTGGTATGGTAGCAAAAAACTTTGTTTTTTGCAGACCCCCAGTAAAAATGAACAGAACCAAAAAACTAATTAAAAAAAAAAAAAAACATGCCAAGAACAGCGAAGTCTTCCTTGTGGTTTCCCTTTGAACCAGGGTGAAAAGGCTGGGCAGAATCCCTGGGGGAAGCCACGGGCAGAGACGCCGGCACCTCAAGATGGCGGCCTGAGCCATTTTGGCTTTGAGCAATGCTGAAAAGCGCCAGGCGCCCAAATATTTCGAATGGGGTTATGGGGTACTATAATACCATGTTTAGTCAGGGTTACAGGCGGAACACTACTAAACACTTAGTTCGCCCCCTTATGTTACCCAGCCAAAAAGACGAGCGAACCCATTTTAGAAGCGAGTTGCTGCCTGCCATCACAGGACCAGCCACCCCCTCCACCGACCAACCAGCTGTTGCTTGGCTTGATGGACGTGGTGGATTCCTTGGCAGTCGACCCGCACAAGGCGACAATGTTTGTTGGTTGCATGGGAAAACTCACTTCCCGAGGGGTCAAACACAGTAAGCAAACCGTTTACTTACCACAAAAAATGGTCCAGACCCAAAAAGTGCCTAAACTCCATGAACTCAGGAAGTGAGAAAATGCACCTTCCATGTATGGTAGCAAAGCACTTCTTTTAGCAGCCCCCACAAAACAAAATCAGAACCGAAAACCCTAAAACATGCCAACAAGCAGTGAAGTGAAGTAAAATCAACAGTGCACACAGTTCCCCCGTGAAAGTTGCCTGAAACGGGTCCAATCCACAAAAGGAGAATCCTCAACAAACGGATTTTGAGGTTGAATACTACCCCGCAAGGCACTCGCTATTCCAAATACCTGCTGTTTTTAGACTGGTTGTTTAAACATAGTTTCTTTTCCAGGGTGAACATCTCCTTTTTTGAGTCAGGGGTCATCATGCTACCAAACGAAGGCAATTGGGTTTGTCTCAAAATTAATCCCCCTCCCCTAAAAATGGGATGTTTTGGTTTCTCTTCGTTTCACTAGGAAACAGGGGTTCCCCCCCCCCCCCACAAGAAATGACACAGCCATTTGAGCAGCGCTCACATGGCTTAGCTTTTTGTTGCCCAACCCCGCTCTATCTGAGTGGATGGACCGGAAACAGCAACCCAACTTTTGGTTACACGATGTTAGGAACACCAACCAATTTCTTCACTAAAATGGTAACCCAACAAGTGGCCCAAGTCCAGGAACTCAGAGACTCGAGAGAGATAAACCAGGTAAAACCACTCCCAAAAAGTGGCCAACTTTTCGGGGGCTCAAGATTGCTATCAGGTCCACGACCTCCCATTTCTGGGTAGGTCCCCCCAGGGGGCTTATTAACATGGGGTTCGTCAAGTAGGACCCCGCCGCGCCCCTTGCCCGCCGGGCCATGGCGCCTGGTCCACGTTGTGGCGGTGGCCCCCGAAGTACTCCACGTGCCGCTCCAGGCCCCCGGGCCGCACAGCCTCCGACAAGTTGCCCAGGACCTCCGGGTAGGCCCAGAAGTAGTCCTCAGAGGGCAAGACAAAACACGGGAGCACCGTTTGTTTCGTTCTTCTTTTCGTTTTTCTTCTTCTTCCTTTGTTTTTCTCGATTTTTGTTCTTCCTTTTTTTTTTTGGAGCCCCCCCGTGTGCAAACAGAGGGGAAACACACAAGGCACCGTTTGTGTGTGTTTATTCTTAAATATAATTAACATTTTGATCTGGTGGGTTCGACGTTTGCAGAAGCGTGTTTAACTTTTTGAGGGGTGGGAACCATCATTTCCCAAAACGCTCAAGTCTGAGGTCTGATCTTTATTGAATCACATGGCAGCTTTTGGCTTTGGTTGAGCTTCAGGAACCCCATCCCAAGCCCTGGCAGTGCTGGCGGCCGGGAGTCCGTGGGGTAGTGGGAAAAGACCAGCATGTTGGAGGCATTGCTGTTCTCCATCCTTCGAATGCGAATCCGTGGAACTCCACGGAATGTGATGGGGCAACCCCCAAGACTTTGCAGTTTCCTTGATTTCCCTTGAACCCGTCGAGCCCAAGAAGGGTTCAACAAAAGGCACGCCCATGACCCAGTCCCTCAAAGGGAAAACGCGACTCCTCAGGGCTGAAGCTGACAACTTTTGGCCTTTTTTCCCCGCACCCCCTTCCAAGCGACAGGGCTCCCTAGATTTCCCGATAAAAGATCACCCAAGCTCACACTTTCAGGCGTGTCCTTTTGCCACCTTTTGTGAGAAAAATGGCGACCCCCTCAAAGTGGAATCCTTCACTACGAGGGGGTCGATCAATTTTCCACAAACAGTGGCAACAAGACACCCTGCTCACTTTGGCCCAAAGGGCACTTCTAAGCCAAAGAGGGTATACAAATATAGGGAACCCCGAACGCCAGAGCACACTGCAAAAATGTGTTCACGCCGATTCAAACGGATCACTTCGCCTGCGCGTGCCAAGAAAAGACCTCGCCCCCACGGAACCCAGGGTTTAGGAGCCTGCTTGGTTACCTGGGAGACAAGTTGAGCAAATACTTCCCTTTGGTTTCCGTTGGTTTCCGATGGTTAACTAAGTACCTTCCCTTTGGTTTCCGTTTCGACAACTCTGGGCCAACTTCGCCATCGGTACGAGGGTCCCATCTTAGGCGACATATCCTCCACTTCCAGGGCAACCCCCGCTTCAATCCCTCAGTCCCAGGGTTTCACCCCCCAAAGAAATTGTGAGAACCCACATGCAACCATTTGAAGGGACCGGGCTTTGACATGTCTTGAAGGATTCCTTCTGTTCATCAGGGTTCCCTACATTCCCCCTTTGACCATCACCCAACAACAATTGTTTTTGCCCTGTTTAAACTTCCGCAGGATAGGGAGCCCCACCTCTCAGCCACGGGATTTGAAAGGAAAGCCTCCCCCGCCAAACAAGAAAGAAGAAAGAGGAAGCAAGCGCCTGGCTGTCTTCTGAAAGGGCGATAGTGGAAGTGAGCCTGGTGGAATAACCCACAAAAGCCACGGTTATACACACTTATACGTCTAAACAACCCAGGCTTGCTAACCACTTACTAAGCACCATTGGATCGCCCCTTTAAGGGGGGTGAAAAAAACTCACCAGGCTTACCAACCTTGAATAGAAACCGAAAAAACGGCTGGTGATTACCACTCTAAATCAAGGTTCTTGTTACATTGCATTGTTAAACCATAAAGTTGATTGGCTATTCTTGTACCCTCATTTTCCACTTACCTCGCGTACCAAAAACGCATCGATCGCATGATCGATCGCTTGGATCGCATCAATCGCCTCTCGTAGAAGAGGTCCCAGGCCACCTCCGCGCGCTGCGCCAGGGAAGCGTGGCAGCTCTCCTTACCTCGGTTGCTTTCTGCTCCCCTGCAATAAGTGAATTACTCTGAGTGGCTTAATACGGAAAACCTGCTAAACATGGTTCACTTTGAGAGTGGTTTAATACGGAAAACCTAACTAAGCACTTTTTAGTTGGAAGGACCTTTAGTGGAAAACCTAACTAAGCTAACTCAAAGTTAGTGGATAGGACTTTTAGTTGGCAAAAAGCGAAAGTCCTAACAACTTGAAGCCAAATGCAGCAAAGATACAGCTGGTGTGGGGGCAGGTCTGGGCCGCCCACAAGTCGTTGAGGTCCAAAGCCACGATCTCCTCAGACCACTGATAGGCAGCAACAGGCGGTTGACCCATTTTTTTCTACAAAAAACAGCTTGTTTATTAATAGGGGGGTGTTAACCTGGGTGAAATGTGGGAAATCATCCTATTAATAAACAGGGGTTTATTTCTATGGGGTCAACATTAGGTTTTACTGGGCTTCCACGGGAAGGGCACCTGATGCTTGATCAGGAGATGTTAGAAGCCCTGCATGTCCTCAGGACGAGGTTGATAGTAGAGGATCGGATCTGCCGTTTTGCGGCGAGACTTGGATGATCCGAGCCCCATAGAGGGAAAATGGCTCCAGCCGGCAGAAAGCGAAGGTATCAGATCTTTTTTGGGTGGCTTGGAGGTGGTTTGGCGGTTTTCGCTTACTCGCTTGGAGCCAAGGGGTTCTAATCCCCATCAACCAACTAAGGCTTGCCTGAAACTGTATTGGGTGTGAAGCTAGCTAACTTTCGAACCAAGCCACGCCAAAGGGAAACCAATTCTAGGGGCTGGGGGGAGGCAGGGGGAAGGGAGCTCAAACAAGGCCTTGAGGGCTTAAGAAGAACCCATTTGAGCTCCTCCCCCACAAACCCCATGAAGAAAACCGCTTGACTTGTGGGTTCAACGCAAAGCCAACCGCTGAACCAACCAAAAACAACCAAAAACAATCCGCGGAACTGACTTTTCGTGGGTGAAATGCAGACCCACCCGCTACACCAACTAAAAACAACCACAAAAAACTCCCTTGAACGCATAGGTGTCCTTTTAGGTGAAATAGATGGCCCTGGTAGATGAGAAAAAACCACCAGATAAACCAGGAATCGAAACCCATCCTATTTTTCTACCGAGACAACCAAAAAGGACACCTATGCTTGACCCGTACTCGGGGACCGCTGGGAACCGCCGTTCATAAAAAAAATCCGCCAGACACGGGCATGGCTAAGTCCGGCGAGGTCGCCAGGTCGAGGTCCGGGTGCTCCAGAAACCAGCTGAAGCCTGGCTTCGTTGCGACGGATCTTGCGGAACCAGAGGAAACCAAAGCTTCGTCCTCCAGTTGAGAGGTTAGAATAAGTTGGTACCGTTTTTTTGTTCGGTAGTCTATTTTAGCAGGGGAACCCTCCCAACCAACAAAGGGTGAGTGAGTTTCTTCCATTTGCTTTTTCGCCCGCTGGACAAAAAATCGAGTAGTGATAGAAATTCCCTTTAAAACCAGCAGGGGAAAATAACACATATTCTTAAGCAAATGGAAGCTTTGGCTTCCAAAAGTCCTGGTGCTATCTGGCTGGCGCTCAGGGAATTCGTTGGAATGAGCCCGAGAAAAAAAACAATGCAACTGGTGGTTTCCATGAAGGGGATCCCCAGGTTCATTCGCAAACCACCTCTTGATTCCCGAGAACCAGCAAAATGAGGGGCACATCGAGCATTCGGCATGCTCACGAATAGTTACGAATAGTTGCAAGGGGTTAAAACTGTGGATTTCCGTACAGGTTCCATTTAACACCAAGCAAAAGGGGGTTCCCCTTAAAAAAGACACACCCACAAAACCAAATCCTTGTTTTTCAGAGGCCCAACTCTTGCTCCGAGTTTACAGCGTAGAAGCCCTTGAAGCAAGAGGTCCCTCTGCATACCGGACCCCCAGAAGTGAGTTTTCTGTCTAAAATGGGAGAGAGACCTCAGTGTTTAATCAATCAGGCACTAATGAGCGAACCTGGCAAGGGATCATAATGGGCCTTATTCTCAGATTTTCAGTACTTAATTTAGTATTGTCAAAGACTCAATCTCACATGCCCAGTGCTTACTGAATTTACAATTGCAAATTATACTTTTAGTAGTCTCAATCTTATATTTCCAGAACTAAACTGCGTATTGCCACACCTTTATGTTAGATTCCTATATTGATTTTGGTATCGCCAACACTAAATGTACAACTGCAGCGGAACTATCTTAGATTCCCAGCACCTTATCTAGCATTGCCAATACAAACATTAGTACTGCCAAGACGGAGTGCTAGATTTCGATCCCAAACAGGCCCACGATCCACTAGCAAGACCGCTCCCACAAATCAAGCGGGTGCAACAGCACCCTTTCGTGAGCTTGCTACAAATACTGCAAATGGGACGATGGAGCGGGCTCTGTCGTGGATGCCCTCGCTGAATTAACTCGATACCTCTCAAATGGGAACACGTGAGACAGGCCGCCCACTCAGCCTTGGAAAGCGCAACCAAGGCAAAATAGAGAAAACGACAAAACTTTGGAGGTTGGTGGGGAACAGCAGCCGTTGCAGTCTTGCGTAGATGACAGATCATCTCCCGCGTCCTGACTTGCTTTAGAAAAGTGCCGAACGACGATTCGAGCCTGGCATGAAGAATCGGTCGAGGTTGGAGGCATCATAGTTGATTTGGGCCGCCTCACTCTCACTATTCGAGCAGGTGCTTTTCTCCGCCAGCATGTCGTGGTTGCCGTAGACGCTGTACCAAGGGACGCTGCGCAGGCTGGAGGAGTAGACATTTCGCCATTTGGTGTCCCACTGGGGGTCCTCCTTGTCCACCACGCCCACGGGGTAGAAGGAGTCTCCAACCTAAGCATGGAGCGCAGAGGGTCGCCGGAGGAACATGGCCAAACCCAGAAACCCCCCCTCCATTGGAGCAAGGGTGCATATTTTGTGCCATCCTTCTGTCTTACAGCCTTGGCTCAAAGTGTACGAAACTGGCAGCTTGGCAAATGGCAAAGACTTTCAAACCTGCGTACCCCTAGCTCTTTCATTTTGATCCACAGCCGAGACATCGCCCAACGCCGCCGCAGCGGCATTGATCACGAACTTCACGTCGCCCAGCTCCAGAAACGCCTCGTGCATGCTCTCCGCTATGAGGTTCTGGCACGCGCGGGACTGAATGTTCCCATGCGCCACGTCGTCCCAGCCCCAATCGCCGATGACCAGGAAGGAAGCCTCCGGGAGCTGATCCGAACGATTTGCCAATGGAATCCCCAAGCGGAGTAGGTACAACAGGGATCCGGATGCATTATACACCTGAACATTGCAACTCGTAAATGGTGGTTTCCCTTTATTTTGGTGTTGAAAAAGCCACATGTTTCAAATGGTTGCAAAATGTAGATCTTTTGAGGAGCCCTGCACGAGGGGGTGAGTAGTTGAGAGCCTCAGGGTTGCTTAGGGTTTTAGGGCTCGCCGTAGGGCATCCGCCCCTTGCCGACTTTTGGGGGTTCTGAAAGCTAAGCTTGCCATCGAATTATTCAACAATGCGCTGTGCGATTCAACAATGCCCGCAAAAACAACCGTCGACGCACACACACACACAACCACACACGCACACACAAACACGCGCACACACACACACATATATATATATATATACGGTACCCCCCCCCCAGTACCCAGGTGTTGTTGCATCATGTATCAAAACCATTGACATTTACAGTGTATTTTGATTGAACTCATGCATTTTCTGCAAGGCCATTTTGTGGACCAAAAAAACAAAAAAAAACAAAAGAAACAATCCTAGCCCCCACCATGGCTGGGATTCTTTGGTTTTTGGTTTTTTGGTTTTTTGGTCCAGGGACATGCTGCGCAACAACTTCCAAATGTTGCGCAACATTTGCGGAGCATGATGAGAGGATATGTGAACCTTTGTGAAAGAAGGCGTGTTCTGGGTGAGAGGATATGTGAATTTTCTATAGAGAAGAGTTATTGAAAAAAAGTTTTGTGTGAGCCATTTATGTGACACAAACTGTCCCAGCCATAGCCGGGTTTTATTCTACACAGGGTTCACTTTCCTTGGCACCTCTTTCACATATGCTGCCTTTGTTTCATTGAAAGAAGTCATGTACAAAGACATGTGTTGGGTGAGAGGATCTGTGAATTTTCTGTGGAAGAGTCTTTGAAACAAGGCATGGTTTGTGTGGGAAGATATGTGAATTATCTGTGGAAGAGCCTTTGAAAGAAGGCATGGTTTGTGTGGGAAGATATGTGAATTGAATTTTGTGTGGAAGAGCCATTGAAAAAGGGCATGGGTCATGTTTAAGGCGTCTTTCTTCAATGAGGCAAACCTCCTTCCTCTGGTCTCCCAGTGTGCAAATCTGAGCTGTTCTTCCTGCCTGCTTCCGCGGTCAAAGACATCCGAACCAAGCCCAAACCTGGGTACCTGGGGGGGGGGGTTAGCATATATATATATATACATGTCTGAAATGGGAAATCCCGGACTTCCTACCCGTAGTGGGGCACTAAAGAACACACCGTAACTCATCGAGCATAAGGATCCTGAACTCGAAAGATGCGTCGCCAACTAGCCACAAAGAACCCCATGCTCCAGGTGAAAAAGCAGTCTGCTTTTTGGAACTCCGGAGTTCAACCGTTTCCTTGTTTCCGGAAGAGTCCTGTTCCATTCACCCTTTACCAACTGCCAACTCAGCGGGTCTGCCAGTGCCCTTCATTTCTCAACTAAACTGAACAAGAAGGACACCTATTCTCTCGACTCTCGACTCCAACCACTTTTCGGATCTCTTTTCCGGCGGCCTGCCTTTAACACGCGGCCAAGCCCTCAACAACCCAGCCATGGACAAGGAGCACAAAAACGCGAGCAGTGTGTGACGTTATTCTCACACTTCCCGAGCGCATAGCCCTAAAAAAGGCCAAGCTTCTACAATGGTCTTGCCAAGAAGTGACTAAATTCCATGAACTCAGGAAGTGAGTTCTATTGGGCAACACTACTGTGGGTGCACAAAATCCTGCACTTTGAAACCATGGGAAGCCATAATTTCTTGGTATTTACAGGGGAATCATCCTTCCAGGGTCTCGGTGCGAAATGGATCTCGCAACCACAGTACTTTCGTCTTCTTGGACTTGAGCTTTCGTAGCTCAAGTCTGATGCATGCGAGTTTCCAATTGATCTAGTGGCGGTAGTGGTGGACTGGAGTTTCCAGTTGATTCTGTGTCCTTGAATTTGAGTTTCCACTAAATTTGAATTTGGGTGCGCAGATGTGACCTTTGTCAAAGCATCACCTTTTTGCATCATATGGAATTTGAGTTTCCATTGAATTTTCGCATGGTTAGATTTGAATTTCCGTTGATTTGTTCCTTTTGAGATGTTGACTTGCGCTTTCGCTTGAGTATAGCTGAACCTTATTTTTGGAGATTTCGATTTGAGTCTCTCTTTGACTTAATGTTATTATCCCCTGTGAATTTGGGAGGTGGCGTTACAACAGCCGTTCTGTAGTATCAAAACCGTTGATAGGGAGGTGATTCTCACCCATTTGAGTTTCTACTTGATTTGGAGCTTCAAGTTGGTAGCTAGGCCCATCTATCGATTTGCGGGGACCTGCGCATTCTTTCCTGCAGGACTGGCTCATGTGGGGGTATCATGGCGAATGTGACCCTTGTCAAAGCATCATTTTTTTTTTTTAAATATAGCATGTAATCTGGAACTCTCAGTCTCAGAAAGCCACCCTTTTGGGAGATCTCAGGAAGTCATGGCCTCAAATGACCAAAGAATGCAGTAGCAGCAAGCAACAATGTTACTGCTGCTGGAAAAAACAACAACTTTGTATCCCCTTCCCAATTTTCGGTGTGTGGGGATGTCCCGAACGAATTCGGGAAGGAATTTATGATTTTTGTGGGGCGTTGGCCTCTTTGCGCGGCCCCGAATTCATGCAAGGGGGATTTCAATCCCAAGCTACAACTATCTGAAGGCCTCGGGCGAGCCATGCACCACGCATTGTCCCTCACAAAACGCTGTAACTCCTGTTAACCCCCTGGTTCCCGGGTCTTTGGGGGCCACAAGTCATGTCAGACTGCAGGATTTCCTAAATGATGCTGACCCCTGATGAATCATCCCCCCGCGTATTCTTTTCATTGGGGGGGTCCCTTTTTAGTGGGGGAATCCTCTCTTGAAGGGGGACTCCAATTAATTACAAACTGGGGGGTTTAATCATGAGTCAACATTGCCACTCAGATGCCCAGTGGGCATGGGAAAAAAGGGCATTATTTATTGGTTGGTTGACTTTAAAGGGGAACCCTTACCAGAACCCACTGGTTGCAACTGGGGCCAGCTGATTAGCCACGTTTTTGCCCACCTCTCGCTTTTGAGCATGCGCTAGACTTATCAGCGCGCCCACAAGCGCCCCGAGCTGCGCCATGCCGCGGCAAAGCGACTTTGCGCGTGCGCGACGGCTGCGGCAAGGCGGCCGATGCTCGCCAAAAACGGCTGCGTGCACCTGACCTTGGGGGGAACTTCCGCACGGGATTCTTGCCTCACCATGCAAAACCAGGGGCAGTGGCTGCCCAGTAAAAAGATAGGTGAAAAGAAAGGAAAAGGAATTAAATCAACCCCAGTCTCTCAATCTTTTTTTGTTGCTTGGCCCAACCCCAAGAGTAGGCCTAAAATAAAATGTTCAGATTCTGTTCCATACCTAGTCAGCCCAACACAAAATTCTCGGAGGAGACCCCAACACAGTGGGGGATCAACTGGAGGGAAAAAACACTGACACTGAACCATTGACCCTCCCAGCTGACTCGCCGAGTCTGCACAGGCCATACGGCACGGTGAACATCTCACCACTTGCTGTTCCCCAAGAGGATCGTGCTTGACTCCGAGGGCCTTTGTGTGAATGGGGCACGACCCCATGTCCTCCCAAACCCAAACTCATTTATAATCACTAAATTTGTCAGCAAAATTCTACAATATAGATCCAGAGATCCACTCAACACGCAGCCATGGGTTGCATGGATTCTCACGACTCTTTGGGTGGACAGCCTTTGGGTCCCGATTCTTCACGTAAGCCTCCGACCCCGCAGCTTTCGAGGCATCCCTGCAGAACCGTTCTGAGGCTTACATTCAAACAGCTTTTCATGGGGGCTGGGGGGGAGGGAGGGGAGTGGGGAGGGAGCCCCAAAAGGCCCTAAATAGGGCCTCATTAAGGGCTTATTAGGGCTTATTTGGGCTCCCCCCCCCTCCCCTCCCTCCTTTCCAGCCCCCTTGAGCCTTCGTGGCTGATCCAAACGATGGCACCCTTCAATGGAATCCAGAACCCCCACGCTCCCGGATCGATCGATGCGCACCACCAGGATGCTCAAGAGTTGGATGGCCCTCATGACCTCAGCCACAGGCTCAACCCCAGCTTGTCCTCCATTTGCTTAGGTCCCTTGGAAAAATCAAATCATATTTCCAGTAGCGATAGATTCCCTTTAACACCAACAGGGGAAAATTTAAAAAACATAGACTTAACCAAATGGAAGTTGTCCGTTCTTTTAGAGGCCGAATGATTGAAGAGACCTTGCAACACATGAAGCTGGTTGCTGGATAGTGAAATCCTCATGGATCCTTAAAAAATCCAGGCTCAAAGGCCGAGTTCCGTTGGGCCATGACGGCCCTGACGCTAACCAACGCGGACAGGGCAACAAGTTTCTGCTTTGGACTGAGAGGGAAAGGGAAGCAACCAAATCAACCCAAATTCAGGGTGGACCAGATCATTCTGCGTAGATGGGCTGGGCCAAAGCTCTGCTACCCCCCCCCCCCTCCCCCGAAATCACTCCTTGGCGGTAGAGATGCCAAGCACTGAGCTCAGCCGCTCAATCGCGGGCCCTGGATCCAGGCAGTCCCTAGTGAGGCTAGCTCGGGTAGGAAACTTGTTGAGCTGCAGCCCCTTCTTTTGCTCTTTGCTCTTTCTGTTTGCAGACTTAGAAGATGTCTTGCAATCATTAGGCGAATCGACGTTCCCCTCGGAGAGCCCAAGCAAACCGCGGACCACCTCACTTGACATGAACCCAGCACTCTGATTGACTTGGGCTTTATGCGCCCGAAGCCCGCTTGCACGCTGAACATCGACTTCTCTGCTTTGTGCACAAGGCGGAGTTGCGGGAAGGTGTTGGGGTCCTATCAGACCTTGGACCCCATGTTGTCGCATCTGGCCGCAAAAAGCGCGCTTTTCTTCCTGGTTTGTGTGTCCCAAACTAGCGCCTCCCTCAAAATGGAGACCGGGTCCCTTTGCGTTGCCCGTGAACAGAACTCAAAAGGGGTACCCTCAAAGAAGAAACACCCAGATTTGGCATCTTTTTCTTTTTTTTTTTTTTTGGGGGGGGGAGACACCACAAATAAGATATATCTCACAACATATGTTTCATATTTAGCCCACGTTGTAACATATACCGTAACTCACTTCCTGAGTGGATGGGCCAACAAAGTCTGAACTTTTTGCTTACCACCAAAATGGTCCAGACCCAACAAGTGACGATCAAGTCCTCGTGCATTTGCTTAAGCTGCCTCGAAAAAAATAAGAATATTTCCGGCGAAGGATTCCCTCTAAAAAAAACAACAGGGGAACAAATCTTCTCAAGCAACTGGATGTCATGGACTAAGATTTGATTTCGTGGCCGGAGGCCCTCTGAATGAGAAACGTAATGTTGACCCGGGATTAATCAACCCGTCCCATGATTAGGGCCGGTGTTCCCTCCAAAAGTGGTCTGAATCCCCACTAAAAGGGGACATCCCCTTATTCATCAACCAGGGCTTGATTAACTCAGATGCCCAGTGGCCATGGGAAAAAGGGCATCCTTTTTTGGTTGGTTGGTTGATTTTCAACTGAACCCTTCCCAACAAAAAAGGTTGAAAACAGGGGAGCAACCCACTGGTTGCAACTGGGTTGATCCGGGGTTAACATCTTCCACCTGAGGGCCCCCACGGGCGCCGCTTGCCGAGGCTTTCGGCAGCTTCTGTTCGCTGAGCCAAAGCACCGGAAGCGCCGAATCGCTAAGCATTGGCAGTACTGACTTTAATGGTGGGAACCTCAGGTTAAGTGTTGACGACTGCCATGAAATGTGTACTCCCCATATTCTAACACGGCAAACATACTCGAACTGCAAAAATCGGACGACTCCCTCCCCGCTGAACACCCCCTGCCAAGTTTGAGACAACCCCCGCCATAGATGAGTAGACCATTTCGTAGGAGACACTTGAGCCTAAAAACACACACACACACACATACAAAAGAGCCCCGCTGGCTGTGAACTCCCCATTTTTTTGGGGGGGGTTCCGGTCCCGAGTTTGAGACAACCCCCACTGGAGGTTTGTGGGAATGACCATTTCGCAACCATAGATGGCCTCCCTGGTAAATGGGGCATAAAACCAATCTAAACCAGGAATCAGCGCATGGGTCAAACTCAAGCCACCAGGAATTGGACCGCAGGTTTTAGTCCATGTGCCCATTTACCAGGGCAAGCCATTTTGGGGTTTCCCAATTTTTGACCCACAGCTAAATCGAACATCGATGTTCACCCATGTGTGTGTGTGTGTCTTTTGAGGGTACATTTTTGCTGGGCTTGAAACAGGGTCTGGAAAAACTCTTTCAAACATCGCCTAGCCTCAAGTATCTGGGCTTCTGCCAAAAAGTCTTGTTTTTGCAGTCTTGGTTGCTGTAACGCCCCCTCAGCAAAACGTTTATCGCTTGTGGGTGCAATTCAGAAAATCCACAGTTTCAACCAAAAGTTGAAGTCCAAAGATCAACCTGGGCCGTTCTCTTTAGAAAAGGCAAGGCTGGCTGGACATTTGTTGCCATCGAACCAGTGAAGAGCCACAAAAAATAAATGAACCTGGAGAACCTCAAAGGGGTTCTGGCGGGAATGGCTTGATTCTCGTTACTCGCAAACCGGAAATAAACCAATCCCCAACCTCCGTTGGCTTTTGCTCGTTTTGCGCCCTGGTGAGCTTAATCACTTGCCCAAACGTAGTGTAAGAGCAATGGGGGTTGCAATTGACTCAACCTTTTGGCCTTAAGAGGCCACCATGGCTTTGCTAGAGACATACTACGAAGCCGGCTTCCTATCTTGAGGTTTGGATGGATGAACTCCGTTGATGGTCCAAAAGAGGTGTTAAGGCTTTCTGGCCTTCATGCTAACATGGCTTCCCCTACCCAAAACTATTTGGTCCCAGGGGGAAATCCGGTCATACATACTTTATTGAAACGGTGGCTATGGCGGTATGTCCCAGTTGTATTCCTGGCAAGGTGGTTTGGTTTTCGGGGGGGGGGGGGGGTTGGGTAGTGGAAACGGCTTACAAGTTCAGAGTCTTCCTTCCTTTTTGACTCGCCCTGTCTGTCCAGCCTCTCCAGCGGTCTGATCCACTGGTGGCAACAATGCTGGACACGGCGGAAGATAAAGCAAGCCGACTCAACTGGTCTACCCAGCAGCCGTGGTTGTCTTTGAAGCAACCAAGCAAAAGGTTGTTGCCAGTTGTGCAACGCCCATGCTTCACAGCTTTGGCTTTAATGATGTTCCGCTTGCTGAGTAGAGCCCGCCCTTCTTCGAAGGGCGGAGCGCAGCAACCAGCGGCCTTCGCAACTTTGGGCTGCGAAGGGCACCGGGAATTCGGCTTCGGCCGAACCTTTGCAAGAACTACTCCAGTCTCGAAACCCGGCACTACACCCGGCAAGAAGCAAGCCGGATCACACGCCAACGGGTTCACCATCCTCACCTAGTCGAGACACGGCAACTGCCTCTTGGAAAGAAGGAATAACCTCAGGTTCGGATCGAAGGCGAATGGCAAGTGGCAAGGGGTCAATGCCCGTTCTCGTCGGAGTTCCTGGACCTTGTCACAGGACTCCCCTCAAATTTGAGTGATGGAAGCGCGGCATGCACGCACCCCAGAACCGTGCGCGCCTTTTCCTTGGGTTTGAATGCCAGTATTTTTCCCAACCCGCCTAGGAGGAGGTAAGCGGGAGTGCTCTCTGGGGGGAATGGGAAGCTCTCTTTGCCATCCACAGCAACTTGCAGGTCGCAGGGCATTTGCCCTTGCGCGGGAGAACGTGCACATCGAGCATTGGGAAACTTGAATCGATCTTGCTCAAAACCAACCGCCCAACAAACGACAGGTCGTTGGTCGCATTTGAGCATTGGTTGTTTGAGCATATCAGCTTCCCTCCACTTGGTGGCTTGGATTGGTGGTTTGGAGGTTAGGGAACATCCCGTACCCCCAGTGAACATCCCAATCCCCACTAAAATCGACTAAAATGGGTGGTGCACCTACCCCAACATGGTGCCATTGGTTTGACCCACAGCCAGGTGGTTTCGCATGCTCACCCTCTACACAAAGGAGTTCACATCCCCCAATCTGCCATAAGGGGGGCTGGGGGTCCCCCAATTCCATTTTGTCCTCCCCATAATAGAGAACGTAAACTTTAAAAGGAATTCCCGGAGATCGCCCCCCTCTCCCAATTCCATTTTTAAAGGGATGGCCAGCCCCCTTTCCCTTCCCGCGCCTTCGCTCAAGAGGTTATGTCGGTGAACAGCCGCCTGCCTGTGGAACAGTTCCGATTGAGGCCAAGAAATACCCAGCCCGACACCAGCTACGACTGGGACGCACTCTGAGGCGTTGGTTTTCTCGAGCCGTTTGCTTTTGATTCATGCCGCCGCCGATGGCCTGAATTTCACACTCCAGATTCACCAACCTGAAACGCCACAGGATTTCTAGAGGCCCCTTTCGGGGAACATGTTTTTTTTGAGGGGTATTCCAACTGTAAACCCGCAGAGACAGCTTCGAGGCCTCACCCCGAAAACCAAACCCCAATGAACATGTGGACATGACAGCATCGAAACATGGATATAGCAACTGATTTATATATATATATTGCATATGTATGCATATAAAGCATTTACACACACACATACACATATACACATACATTTGTGGTCCCGTGTTCCGTGTTGTTACCCCCCCCCCCCCCCCATATGGTATGGGTCCCCCAGGACCCCCCCCCCCCGGCCCGAGACCCCGAGCCCCCGAATCCTGTCACCTACGGTCCCACCCCCACCCCGACCCCCTGAACTCGCACCCCGACACCCCGGCACCCCCACCCCCAGGACAAGCCAACCCGCAACCAACCATAAACCAACCCTAAACTAACCCTAAACGAACCCTAAATACACCCTAAACCAAACCCTAAACCGTAGACCTCTACTAAACCTAAACCAACCCTAAATCAACATAAACCAACCCTAAACTAACCCTAAACCAACCCTAAACTAACCCCAAATGCACCCTAAACCAATCCCTAAACAATAAACCCTAAACCTAAGCCAACCCTAAACCAACCCTAAACTAACCCTAAACTAACCCTAAACCAACCCAAAATACACCCTAAACCAAACCCTAAACCGTACACCTCTAAACCTAAACCAACCCTAAACCAACCCTAAATCAACATAAACCAACCCTAAACCAACCCTAAACTAACCCTAAATACACCCTAAATATACCCCAAACCAATTCTAAACCAACCCTAAACCACCACAACCCAACCACAGGACCACAACCACAGGGGGGGGTACTTGTCTGACCCAGGGGGGGGGCTAGCAACGCTGTACCGCATATACATACACACATACACATACACATACACATGCACATACATATGCATATGCATATGCATATGGATAGATCTATACACATACACATATACAAAAAAAACATATATACAATATGTGGTATGCACCGCCTGTTGGTGCATGAGCGCCCCTTCATGCCCCTGCGAGTCAGTAGACATGTTGAATGGGACACCTTTGTGGACCTGCACTCATGTGCACATGACAGACAAACCATTCCGTTTTTAATCGGCGCCCTTAAAAACCCGTTGTGTTGCTCCCTGAGTCCCCGAACGTGGTGCTTTTGGGGAAGGGCTCGAGGCTAATCATGGTCAACAAAGCTCCTACGTCTTCCCCTTTCGGGTCGCTGGTTGCAACTGCGCGGTGATTTTACCCTGATCCCCTCCCATGCCATGCACAGGTAACTACTGAGGGGGGAGCTCCTGTTGGTGTCTAATGTCATGCCGTATGGAACAGACTCGGAACTATGTGTTTGCATTTGCATTCCTCGGTTGCTTTCTGCTCCCCTGCTAAAAGTTTAACTTTTAGTGGTTATATGGAAACCCCATTAATTAGTTAGCAAAAGTCAAAGTCCTAACATCCCTTTTGCAAAATGCACCAAAGAAACAGCCACTGAACGGCCTATTTTCGGTGGTTCACCAAAGAACCGTTTTCCGTCAAAACAAAAAAATCGGAAAGTGTCGGAAAGTGTCCAAGGATTCTTTTTTAAAGGTGTACCCTGGGATACCCTGAGGTTGGACCAACATCATGGTTGAACACCCTTTCAACGTGCCAGCTGCCAAAGCCCCCATCCGCCTTTGCTGCCTCTGGAGGAAGAGGCCAGCCTATCGAACGTGAGCTTCGGCGTGGGGAAGCGATTGCTTTCCCCAAGATACCGATCCATTGCCTTTGGATGTGTTCACTAGCCCCGAAATTCATAAAGGCTCGTTAAAAAAAAAAAGTGGCCTTGTGCCCTCCCTGTTCAGTGGCCTTTGGATTTGGTTTCATTAACTAGGCCCCAAAGAAACACAGACAGGTAGCCTAACGACATGGAAGCTGACTGGAGGGATCGTCTTGGGTTTCGTAGCGTTTGTGCCTTTATAGCTCTGACCAGTTTCCGGAACGGGTACCGTCTAGGGGCTTGCGAAACAAGGTTTGCCGACAGCTACGTGACCATTTGTCCAGATGCCGTATCACCTCTGTCACGAGCTTGAAACTCTTGCTTTTCCCAAGAGTTACCAGGCGCTTTTCATGTGGAAAAAAAGATCCTGGCAGTTCTGGCCTCAGAATTTGGCCGTCGCAACCCTTCTTAGCTTAGTGTTCCTGCAGATTGTTTTTCCGCACTGCCGCCCTCAAAATGAATGACAGCCGGTTCCTCAGCGAAAGCTTGCTAGTGCCCAGTATGGAATGACCCAGGGTGTTGGGAACGAACCGAAGGATTCCCTTTAAAGAAACCACAAACAAGGGATGGTGTATGCAGATCATTCCCTCATTCCCTGCATGGCTGAGGGGCCGCCCTTTTATCGCGAGAGCGAACTCTCAGGGCCCAACAGCAAACGCAAAGCCAGCAGCTAATACCTGGCGAACCGATCAGGATGCTGGGCGGCGGCGGTCGGGGGGGGGGGGGGTTGCGAAGTCGCTTTGTTGCATGATGATTTCGCCTCGCTTTTCATCATGAGCACGATAGTTGAGACGGATCGCCAAGGCTGCAAACGGAATGATGAGTCGTAGTGGACGTTGACCGACACTCATACCCATGCATTGCGCGGGAAGCCCGAAGCACTCCCGCGACAGGGAATCAAACCGGGGTGTTTGTTCGGCTCTTGCTTCTCCACGTCCCAGACCCATGATCCATGGAACAAAGGAGAGGGATTGGCATGCTTTTGGTAGTTCCAATTGGAGTGAGTGGAGCCCCAAATCAGGGAGGAAGCCAAACATCAGGCCTTCCCGCTTAGGAGGGGAAACAAAAAGCCTTTGGCAGTTGACGTTCAAGGAAACCTCCGAAAAAAAGAAAAGAGGGGATCGAAAAACACTCCAGTTCGGGTTTCCGCGAACTATCACTCTAAAGTTCAGCCATGGCGGCATGCATGACTTCTGGGGGCCTTTTGGAAAAATTAGATGGGCCTGGTAAATGAAATAACCCCCATCTAAACCAGGGCCCTCTATTTCTTAAGCAAACCAAAAAAGAACGCCTATGGCCTCAAAAAGACCTGTGGCACACACCCAGAACGACGCATCACAGCCACATCAAACACGCCAAGCGCACTGCAAAAGCGCAGCCTGCCTAAGTTGGGCGAAAGCCGATCACTCAGCCTCCCAGAGCCCGAACTGATGCCTAATTACTGAGGCAACCGGGGCGCGCTGTGCATGTCACCCTTGGTCTAAACCCCTCACTTCCTGGGTCGATTGGCCAGAACAAGCAACCCAAACTGCTTGTTTACCACTGAAATGGTCCAAACCAAAAAAGTGACTCAAGTCCAGGAACTCACGAAGTGAGAAACTTGTTTCCAAGGGTTGCCGTTTCGGGGCAACTGGTCGAACCTGATTTCTCGGATTTTCTTCAAGCAAGGGACCGTAAAATGCCGAGCTCAAGTTTAGCTCGCTGCAGGCTCTGGATCAAGAACACGAGAACTCATGGAGATAGGTCCCAAACAAACCTTGGAAGAAACGTTCCCCCCCAGAGATGATTTCCCTAGAGAGGATAGAATAAGGGTACACTTTTTCTGTAGTCTCTTTAAGTAGGGGAAGCCCCCCCCGAAAAAAAGGGTAAAAGGGCACTACTGGGGGTCCTAGACTTGATCAAGCAACCGTTCAACCCCCATAGCTCGACTCCGCGCTCCCAAATGAAACCTGCAAGCCATGTTCTTGGATCAATTGCCTGATTTATGGAAGTGCACATGGCTCCTCGAACCGAACATATTCAAGTTGCCCCCTCCTCCCCCCTTTAGGACCGAGCCACACGCTCACATGGGTGTGGCTCAAAGTTAAACAGAAGGGGTTACGCAGGTTTTCGTCCATGTTTCCACTTACCAGGGGTCCATTTTGGAATTCCGGTTTTTTGAGCCACAGCCACATGTTTCTTGGGTCGGAAGTTGATACTGAGGTCCCAGCCATATCGGAGCCCAGTCGTGGCACAGTTGCATCTACCCTGGCCAAATGGATGCTCTCGGATCAAAGGCACGCCAGGTGTCCTAGGGGAAATCGATGGGTTTCCCTGGTAGATGAGAAAAAACACCAGGTAAAGCAGGGGAACCCATCTATTTCTTCGACCAAAACAACCAAAAAGGACACCTATGAACACGCCGCGTAAGCTCCAAAAGGCAAGGCTCCAAGGGTTGGTGGGCGAATTGGGGACAGACCCGGACGAGCACGAAGAACATGAACTGGTTATTGTTGGGCCTCGAGATTGAGCGGCATGGGATGAAACGCTGCAACCCGGCCCCTACCTCAGCTTCCGACCGAACTCATGCCACATCTAGTCACGCAAAGCAATTCCAAAAGAGATACGGAATAAGCCCAACAAAGAAGGGGGTCCATTTTGTTTGCTTTTGATGTTTTCCGAAAAAGGGACACGGCCTCCTCTCAATCAACCCGCCCAGCCCCACCTATTCACCAGGTCTTTGCACGCTATCGCCCCGCCGATGAAGTCGGGGCCAGCCTGACGCGAGGGCGCCAAATCCCAGCAAAAAACCGTGACTGAAACAATTGCTCTGCTTATTGCGCAACTACCCATGTGACTACACATCATCTTAGTTTGAGAACATGTATGTACATGCATACATATATATATATATATATATATATATATATACCGCCATGATTGTTTGAGCTTTTACGTTCACGTGTGCGTGATGGGATGCTCGTGCGTGTCTTCGTTTCTTACAGTTCGGTGTAAGTAGCAATTTGCTATGTTTGCTCGTCCGTCTGTCCGCCTGTGGAAATGTTTTACACGAGTTTGTGTGAATATGTGTGTGTGTGTGTGCGCGCGTGCGCTTATGTGCAAGTGTGAGTGTTTGTGATGTGGTGTGCCCTTGTCGGTGTGTGCGTAGGTCTGTAGTGCACTAGCATGCGTGCTAATTAACCAGTACACGCTA